AATTACCGACTTTCCTGCCCTACCTGTTACACCTCTGAAATCGCCAGCACCGAAGAAGGTTATGTATGATCGCAGCAACCCGGAGCCTTCTGCTACAAATGAGATCATATCCAGTCTGTCTGCGCTGATAAACGTCCGTTCTGACAATCTAGAGAGCATGGTGCAGGAGAACACGCTAAAGATTGAGGGTCTCAAAAAGACTATTGACTTTGTATGCGCTGAAATGAATGATGTGAAGATGAAAGTGAATGATCTGGAAAAAAGAGTTACAAGAGAAGAAGGTCGTGTGGATAACTACCAGCAGAGGCTTGATGAGTTGGAAAGATATTCCAGGAGGTGGAATCTCAAACTACAATGAGCTGAAGAAACTGAGAAAGAAGACATACGAAGAAAAGTGATAGAAATCTGCCAGTCAGTTATACCAGAACATAAACACAAGCTGCCTGATGCCATCGACACTGTTCACCGTCTTGGAGCCAAACGTACAGGTAACACCAAACCTAGAGGGATCATCATTCAGTTCTCCTCCAGAGTCCTCAGGGATGCAATATGGAAAGCAGCCAAGACATCTTCGTACCTGAAGAACAACCAACTGAGATTCACTGAGGACCTGAGCAAGGATGACAGAGAACGACGCAATAAACTTTGGCCCTTGATAGACAAAGCCCGCAAGGAAGGTAAACCAGCGTACTTCGTTGGAGGTCGTGGATTTATCAACAGATCAGAAGTCTTCCCTCCTTCACTCTCAACGAATCCTTAGAAAGGATAATTTCACCTTTTCATTTACAATTTAAATGTGTTTTACACTATACTCTCACTTCCCGTTTCTTTTGAACATTATATATTCTCCTTTAGGCAATATATAATTTAGTTATGAAGTCTTACCTTGTTCTTGTTGTAAGATCCTAAAGTACCATAGTCAAACCAAAATAGATAGCAAAGTGCTATTTTTCAATTATCTCTCTTGTATTATAAAAATTTAGTCAGACCTCTTACCGATTTACTACTTAAAGCGTGCAGCTATCGGTCCCCTTCCTTTGTGAACTCCACTTTATCATAAAAGTGTAGTTCTTGTTCTTTATTCTCTGTTATTCTTCTTAAATAACTCTGTCCGTTTCATTTGTATCTCTCAATGCCAGGGGTTAAGACAAACAGGTAAACGCAAAGCATTATTCTTATTTGCCAAACAATTTAAAACAGATTTTTGTTTTTTTCAAGAGAGTCATTCTACATCTTCTGATGTTAATTTCTGGAAATCCCAGTGGGGAAATGATATGTGGTTATCTCACGGATCTGAGCGCTCCGCTGGTGTCGCCACACTTAAAAATAATTTTTCTGGTTCTGTTTTACATACTGTTTGCGACACTCTAGGTCATTACATTTGCTCAGTAATTGAATGCCTTAACAATACCTTTATTGTTGTTAATATATATGGCTACAATAATATAACGGAAAACAACAAACTATTTGAATCATTAGAAGACAGAATTACTTTTTGGCTTGCCAAATACCCAAACTCAATCATTTTAATTGGTGGGGACTTTAACATTGCCTTAGACAATACGATGGACAGATGGCCCCCTAAGCCGCAGTCCTCATTCAGTGCCAGTTTAAAAAATTTTATGGAGAAATTTAATGTTGTTGATATATGGAGAGAAAAATTCCCAGATGACAAAATCTTTACATGGAGCAATAAAATAGGTTCCAGACAATCCCGGATAGATTTTTGGCTTATTTCCAAATATATTAACAAAGACAATATCGATGTTAACATACTTGCCACCCCTCTTACAGATCATAGAGCTATTCGCATTAGCATCCAGATTTATACCCCAGATAATACATCGTATAAATTTGCTTACTGGAAACTAAATAACTCCTTGCTAAAGCATGATGTGGTTAAAACTCATATTAATAAATTAATTTTATATTATTGGAATAAGGCTAACAAGGAAGGGTCCTTTTGCAACAAATAGGAACTTCTCAAATTTGAAATTAGCAAATTTTTAAGACATTACGGAAGTCAGATCTCTAAATTAAAGAAAGCTGAAGAGGAAGAAGTCATAAGCAAGATCTCCTCCTATTACCTAAAATGCCAAGAAGAAGTTTCAGAGGTAGATAAATTAAATTTAATAGAAAATCAGAATAAACTGGATGCTTTGTATAAACACAAGGCTGAAGGTGCCTTCATCAGATCCAGGAAACGATGGCTGGAAGAAGGAGAACAAAATTCTGCTTACTTTTTTAGACTTGAAAAATACAGATCAAGAATAAACTCTATTTTCCAACTAAATATCAATGACATTATATCAAACAATCCTAAAGAAATTGCAACCTTTTGTACTAAATTTTACTCTAATTTATACAGCTCAAAATATAATAAAGAGATATCAGAATCATTCCTTAACAAAATAAAAAATGTACAAACTATTGATGTAGAAGATAAAAACTACTGTGACAGCCCTTTTACCGTGGAGGAAATTTCTAAGTGCATTAATGCACTCAAGGCCAATAAATCCCCCTGCACAGATGGTTTATCTGCTGAGTTTTATCAATCATTCTCTAAGCATATAGCTCCATTTCTCTTACAGGTATTTCTAGAAAGTATAGAGAACAATACTCTCCCTCCTACCCCGACTCAAGGCCTAATAACACTCATCCCAAAACCAAACAAAGACCCTCTATTTATTGATAATTGGAGACCTATAAGTCTACTCAATAATGATTATAAAATTATGGCTTCAATACTTGCTTACAGACTTAAAGAGGTTTTGGACACAGTTATTGATGAGACACAATCAGGCTTTATGAGGAACAGACACATCTCTAACAATATTAGACTTGTTCTAGACTTATTTGATTATTCATATCTAGTGCCTGATGAAAGTTTTATTCTTTTCCCTGATTTCTATAAGGCCTTTGACACAATAGAACATCAATTCATTTTTCAATCTTTAATAAAATTTGGTTTTGTCCCCTTTTTTTGTAATGCAGTCAGAACATTATACTCCAACTCCAATAGTGTTATTAAATTGCCAAACGGCACCACCCCAAGATTTGACCTAAAACGTGGCATTCGTCAAGGATGTCCCGTCTCACCTTATTTATTCTTACTTTGCTCTCAAATCCTTACAACTCATATCTCCAATAGTGCCGTACAAGGAATCAGCTTACCTAACAAAGTACTCATAATCAGCCAGCTGGCAGATGATACCACACTATTTTTAAGGAATGCAAACCAGATCCCTCTGGCCTTAGAGGTGATTAATACCTTTTCCAAAGCCTCTGGCTTATTTTTAAATTTTAAAAAATGTGAATTGCTACCGATTAAGGATTGTCATGCTATTGATATTTGCAATATTCCTATTAAACAAGACGTTTCTTATTTAGGAATCTTAATCTCTAAAGACCAGAAGTTAAGATGCTCCTCTAATTTCATACCAATTATACAGAAAACCAAAAATAAACTGAACCAGTGGCTTCAGAGGGATTTATCTCTTAGAGGAAGAATTTTGATTTCTAAAGCTGAAGGATTATCCCGACTGACTTATGCTGCTCTCGCCTTACATTTAGACAATAAAATCTGTAAAGATATTGATCATATGCTTCTTAATTTTATATGGAAAAATCGTACTCACTATATCAATAAAAGTGTTATTATGAATAATTATGAATCAGGTGGACTTAACTTTCTGGATTTCTCTACCCTAAATAACAGATTTAAAATTAAATGGGCTAAACACTTCCTTAAGAATCCAACCTCTATCTGGAACATTATACCACAACACATTTTCTCATGCTTTGGTGGCTTCAACTTTATTCTACATTGTAATTACAATGTTGAGAAACTCCCTGTAAAACTCTCATCTTTCCATAAGCAGGCGTTCTTAGCGTGGGCGCTCATTTATAAACATAACTTCTCACCTCACAAATACCTCATCTGGAACAACAGAGATATTCTATTTAAAAACAGGTCACTCTATCTTGAAACCTGGGTTCAAAATGGAATTTTACTGGTGGCTCAGCTGATTAATAAAGAAGGACGATTAATCAATTACAATGAATTCTGCTCGATATATAATTTTCCAGTTAGTATCCAGGAATTCTCCATGGTGGTTAATGCTGTACCTTTGGGCACCTTAATGTTGTTTAAAAACACTAATTATACTCTGTCTGTTCCTCCTTTTATCCCTGCTCTAACCGAATCATCTGTGGGAAAAAGCTGTTTTTCAATGGAGTTTAGGAAAAGCAATGAGAGAATACGCAGATTGTTCCAAGAACTTACTGTTTCTCGTCCAGCCATAACATTTTATTGGAGCCGTTATATCCCAGATATTCACTGGAAAACTGTTTGGATGATCCCCCATAAATATTTAATTATAAACAAGGTGAAGGAAGTGTCATTTAAAATTCTCCATAAAATTTACCCTGCTAAACATTATATGATAAAATATAAACGCGACATAAACACTAATTGCACTTTCTGTGAGGGCCATCCAGAAACTGTGACACATCTTTTTTGGCTCTGCCCTGTTATACAAAGGTTTTGGTCTGAATTTAGCAGGTTTATTATTGACCATATCTTAAACAATTTTTCTTTATGCTGGGAAAATGTTTTATTTTGTTTCTATAGATTTCATAGAAAGGTTGCTGATCATTTCTTTATAATAAACTTACTAATACTCTTTGCTAAATATTATATTCATAAATGCAAGTTTGCTAATAGGACACCTTGTTTTTCTTTTTTCATTAAAGATATGGGTCTATATGTCAAATCAATAACAGACTCTACAAATCAAAAGGCTCAAAGGACAATCTCGATATGTACGTCTTTGCATGTTCTTATCTAATCACCCCTGGTTGTATTGCTTGAATGTTGTATTGTTCATTATACTGTTTGTTGTATACTAATTTCATTTAAATAAAGTTCATTGGAAAAAAAAAAAAAAAGAAAGAAAGAAAGGAGGAGGTTTGGCCCCGCCCACAGGAAACGCAGAGGCCCACCCAGTTTTAAGTTTCAAACAGAGAGAAGGACGGAAAGAGACTGCACCATTCACGGTACATTTCCGGTTTCACCTCCTAGTAGCACTTTAGCTAATACGGCGGCGGGAAAGTCGCTGTTGGAGACGAAGAAGAAGAAGAAGCGGCGAGGCGTTTGGTGCATGGCGCGTGTTTTGAAGCTGCTCTGCTTGTGGAGAAATGTCCTGGGCCGTGAGTAGTGAGGAAACAGGAAGCGATTCTTGTGGGATGGAAGAGGGAAATAGTGACAATGAAGGTTGGAAGATAGCAGCATCAAAAAATGAGAAAAAGCGGAAAAAACAGAGATCAGTTAAAGGGGAATCTAGTTCAGAACAATCCAGTGATGATCAATCCATACATTCCACAGCACAACAAAATGAATTCAAAGTCATATTCAAAGTCGTTAATCAGGCAGACTCTTTTACAAACTGGAATCCGGTTCACTTAACAAAAACCATCAATAAACTTGTTGGAGAAGTCAGAGGTGCCAGAATTCTGTACAGTGGAGACCTGCTAATTAACTGCAGAGACAGCGCCCAGCAAGGCAAAGCAATACGTATTAACAAAATTGACGGGATAAGAGTTCAGTGCAGCCTAATGGAGAACAAAAAGATCAGCAGGGGAGTCATTGGAGGAGTTCCTCTGAAAATTTCTGAAAAAGAGATTCTGGAAAACATAAGCGGTGCAAAAGTAAAAGAAGTAAAACGGTTAAAAACAACAAGAAACGGAGAAAGATCTGACAGTTTATCTGTACTAATTAAATTCGAGGAAGAGCAATTACCAAGCAAAGTATTCATCGGTTACATCAGTTACAATGTCAAAATCTACAATCCACCACCATTGAGATGTTTCAAATGTCAAAAATTCGGACACATTGCAGCAGTTTGTAAAGGGAAACAGAGGTGTGGAAGGTGTGCAGGAGAACATGAATATGGTAAATGTGGAAAAGAAGCTAAAATAAAATGCTGTAATTGTGGTGGAGAACATACTGCTGCTTATCGCGGCTGTGAAGCAAGCAAAAGGTCTGAAGAAATAAAAAAAATGAAATTTGAGCTTGGAATAACTTATGCTGAAGCTGCAAAAAGGATCCCATCTCAGTCAGAAAAACCCAAACCTACAGTTCAACACACGGCAAATTTCAAACCTCTAGAGAAATCTCCAAAAATTGATGAAGACTCACTAATTGTTAAAAAGACAAATTTTGTTCTTTTCATGGTGGAAGTGATTAATTGTACTGCTCAGACGACAAAAAAAACAGAAAAAATCAAAATAATAGTGAAGGCTGCAGAAAAATATCTGGATGTTAAAGATATGAACTGGGAGATGGTTGGAAGCATGATGGAAAGACCAATGGGACCATCAGAAACTGGCAGAGGTACGATGACCTAGAGTAAATTAAAATTATACGGGCAAATGTAATTTAGTATAATTTAGTATTATGTGGGTTTAAGTTACACAGGTTATTTTATTGTATTTTTTTTTTTTTTTTTTTTTTTTTTTTTTTTTTTTTTTTTTTTTTGGGGGGGGCGAATCGTTTCCTGTTTCCTTGCTTTACTCCATATCAGTTGGTGGCGGTAATGCACATTTCACAAGTTTGCCAACCGCCATAAAATCTCATAAGAAGAAGAAGGACGGAAAGAGGGCGCCATTTTAAAAGTGTAAAGCTTGGAGGAGGTAGATGCGAGAGGACGAGAGCCCTTTGGCATGTGGATGGTCGTTTGGTGCATGGCGCGTGTTTTGAAGCTGCTTATGGAGAAATGTCTTGGGCCGTGAGTAGTGAGGAAACAGGAAGCGATTCTTGTGGGATGGAAGAGGGAAATAGTGACAATGAAGGTTGGAAGATAGCAACATCAAAAAATGAGAAAAAGCGGAAAAAACAGAGATCAGTTCAAGGGGAATCTAGTTCAGAACAATCCAGTGATGATCATTCCATACATTCCACAGCACAACAAAATGAATTCAAAGTCATATTCAAAGTCGTTAATCAGGCAGACTCTTTTACAAATTGGAATCCGGTTCACTTAACAAAAACCATCAATAAACTTGTCGGAGAAGTCAGAGGTGCCAGAATTCTGTACAGTGGAGACCTGCTAATTAACTGCAGAGACAGCGCCCAGCAAGGCAAAGCAATACGTATTAACAAAATTGACGGGATAAGAGTTCAGTGCAGCCTAATGGAGAACAAAAAGATCAGCAGGGGAGTCATTGGAGGAGTTCCTCTGAAAATTTCTGAAAAAGAGATTCTGGAAAACATAAGCGGTGCAAAAGTAAAAGAAGTAAAACGGTTAAAAACAACAAGAAACGGAGAAAGATCTGACAGTTTATCTGTAATAATTAAATTCGAGGAAGAGCAATTACCAAGCAAAGTATTCATCGGTTACATCAGTTACAATGTCAAAATCTACAATCCACCACCATTGAGATGTTTCAAATGTCAAAAATTCGGACACATTGCAGCAGTTTGTAAAGGGAAACAGAGGTGTGGAAGGTGTGCAGGAGAACATGAATATGGTAAATGTGGAAAAGAAGCTAAAATAAAATGCTGTAATTGTGGTGGAGAACATACTGCTGCTTATCGCGGCTGTGAAGCAAGCAAAAGGTCTGAAGAAATAAAAAAAATGAAATTTGAGCTTGGAATAACTTATGCTGAAGCTGCAAAAAGGATCCCATCTCAGTCAGAAAAACCCAAACCTACAGTTCAACACACGGCAAATTTCAAACCTCTAGAGAAATCTCCAAAAATTGATGAAGACTCACTAATTGTTAAAAAGACAAATTTTGTTCTTTTCATGGTGGAAGTGATTAATTGTACTGCTCAGACGACAAAAAAAACAGAAAAAATCAAAATAATAGTGAAGGCTGCAGAAAAATATCTGGATGTTAAAGATATGAACTGGGAGATGGTTGGAAGCATGATGGAAAGACCAATGGGACCATCAGAAACTGGCAGAGGTACGATGACCTAGAGTAAATTAAAATTATACGGGCAAATGTAATTTAGTATAATTTAGTATTATGTGGGTTTAAGTTACACAGGTTATTTTATTGTATTTTTTTTTTTTTTTTTTTTTTTTTTTTTTTTTGGGGGGGGTGAATCGTTTCCTGTTTCCTTGCTTTACTCCATATCAGTTGGTGGCGGTAATGCACATTTCACAAGTTTGCCAACCGCCATAAAATCTCATAAGAAGAAGAAGAAGGACGGAAAGAGGGCGCCATTTTAAAAGTGTAAAGCTTGGAGGAGGTAGATGCGAGAGGACGAGAGCCCTTTGGCATGTGGATGGTCGTTTGGTGCATGGCGCGTGTTTTGAAGCTGCTTATGGAGAAATGTCTTGGGCCGTGAGTAGTGAGGAAACAGGAAGCGATTCTTGTGGGATGGAAGAGGGAAATAGTGACAATGAAGGTTGGAAGATAGCAACATCAAAAAATGAGAAAAAGCGGAAAAAACAGAGATCAGTTCAAGGGGAATCTAGTTCAGAACAATCCAGTGATGATCATTCCATACATTCCACAGCACAACAAAATGAATTCAAAGTCATATTCAAAGTCGTTAATCAGGCAGACTCTTTTACAAATTGGAATCCGGTTCACTTAACAAAAACCATCAATAAACTTGTCGGAGAAGTCAGAGGTGCCAGAATTCTGTACAGTGGAGACCTGCTAATTAACTGCAGAGACAGCGCCCAGCAAGGCAAAGCAATACGGATCAACAAAATTGACGGGATAAGAGTTCAGTGCAGCCTAATGGAGAACAAAAAGATCAGCAGGGGAGTCATTGGAGGAGTTCCTCTAAAAATTTCTGAAAAAGAGATTCTGGAAAACATAAGCGGTGCAAAAGTAAAAGAAGTAAAACGGTTAAAAACAACAAGAAACGGAGAAAGATCTGACAGTTTATCAGTGCTAATTAAATTTGAGGAAGAGCAATTACCAAGCAAAGTATTCATCGGTTACATAAGCTATAATGTCAAAATCTACAATCCTCCACCATTGAGATGTTTCAAATGCCAAAAATTCGGTCACATTGCAGCAGTTTGTAAAGGGAAACAGAGGTGTGGAAGGTGTGCAGGAGAACATGAGTACGGAAAATGTGGAAAAGAAGCTAAAATAAAATGCTGTAATTGTGGTGGAGAACATACTGCTGCCTATCGCGGCTGTGAAGCAAGCAAAAGGTCTGAGGAAATTAAAAAAATGAAATTTGAGCTCGGAATAACCTACGCTGAAGCTGCAAAAAGGATCCCATCTCAGTCAGAAAAACCCAAACCTACAGTTCAACACACGGTAAATTCCAAACCTCTAGAGAATCAAAAAATTGATGAAGACTCACTTATTGTTAAAAAGACAAATTTTGTTCTTTTCATGGTAGAAGTAATTAATTGTACTGCACAGACAACAAAAAAAAACGGAAAAAATCAAAATAATAGTGAAGGCTGCAGAAAAATATCTGGACATTAAAGATTTGAACTGGGAGATGGTTGGAAGTATGATGGGAGGACCGATGGGACCATCAGAAACTGGCAGAGTTAAGATGACCTAGAGTAAATTAAAAATTATATGGGCAAATGTGATTTAGTATTATGTTGGTTTAAGTTACACAGGTTTTTTTTTTTTTTTTTTTTTTTTTTTTTTTTTTTTTTTTTTTTTTTTTTTTTTTTTTTTTTTGGGGGGGGGGGGGGTGAATCGTTTTCTGTTTTCTTGCTTTACTCCATATCAGTTGGTGGCGGTAATGCACAATTCACAAGTCTGCCAACCGCCATAAAACCCCATAAGAAGAAGAAGAAGAAGGACGGAAAGAGAAACAGCCTGAAAGTCCCTCTGCTGAAAGCCGTGAGTCTTTGAAATAACTTTTATTTTAATGAGGATTTAAGGTTTGAAACCAAATCAATGAATCTGTGAAAAAATGTTGCTTATTTAAAACTGGAAGAACAGAGAACTGAGAGGAAAGAAATCCTCTTTAGTTCTGTGTGCTTTAGTTCTGTGTGACAGACACATTCTAACTTCTGCACAGCTACAGCCATCCACACATACTGCTGGAAAACAATTAAATCCACATGTTGAGCTTCTACATACTGCAGCTCTGGTTTGCTCATTCAAGTCCTGACAAGTTTATTAGAACAATAACTTCTACAGTTGGTTAACATCTAACTGTGGCAGAGCTACACTAACAGGAGAGTTTTCCTTCTCAAACTCACTGACTCAGATTCTGAGGATTCATCGACACAAAGCAGCAGATATAAAAATGATTTTTAACCAATAATAATCTGAACCAGCAGCATGGAGGCTGTTCAGCCCCTCTGACTCTGATACCATTAAATACATAAACTGGGAAGCTCCCAGCAGCAGAGCTGAAAAATGCTTAGAAGTGTCACAGAAAGTTGGATTTCTTTACTGCAGCGTATGGTGGAGATTCTGGTTCTGGGCAAACAGGCTCAGTTTGGAGGAAATCTGATTTCTGGTTCTTCTGCTCCGGTTTGAGCCAGTTTTTGATTCCTTAATTTTTGCTGGAGCCAAACAGGATATTTATCTGCATGCTGACTAGAAACTGAGACTGATAATGTATGTTTGACATTAGAAAATGAGGAAGTTCTGGTAGGAGAACTGAGTCACTGAGAAAACTCAGTTATTGACATGTTTCTAAACTTTAACCACAGTTAATGTTTGCTTTAAACACTGACTTAGAAGGTCTGATTATTCAATACTTAAAGCTCTATTTTTAGTCTCCTGGTGAACACATCCTTTACATTTTCTCAATAGCTTAATCTCTCCAGTATCTGCAGAGTGCAAAAGCTTAGCTTATTCCCCTTCACAGGTTGATGATTTTGTTGATGGGGTTGCTAGTTCTCTGCGAACTGCCTTAGACAACGCAGCTCCTTTGGAAATGAAAACCGTTAAAAATGAAAAGCAGGCGCAGAGTTGCACACTTTAAAGCAAAATGCTAGGAAACTGGAGAGAAAATATCGCTCCACAGGCCTGCGGGAGTCCTTCCTAGTCTGGAAAAATAGTTTACTGCTGTATAAGAGGACCCTTTGTAAAGCAAGAGCAGCATACTTCTCCTCATTAATAGAGGAGAATAAGAATAATCCTAGATTTCTTTTTAATACAGTTGCAAAACTCACCCAGAGCCATAGCTCTGTTGAACCGTCCATTCCACCTGCTCTTAGAAGTAATGATTTTATGGGATTCTTTATAAATAAGATTTATCTTATTAAAAATAAGATCATTAGCACTCCTCTATCCGTGATTGGTTTGTCTCTGGAGGGTGGGGCAGCATCTGAGTTAGTCATGGAATCTAAACCGGGTTTAGACTGCTTTGATCCAGTTGAACTTTCAGTTAGCAAAACTATTGTCTTCAACTTGTATGTTAGATCCAGTTCCAACCAGGTTATTTAAGGAGGTATTCCCTTTGATCTCCTTCTCCATTTGCGATGTGATTAATCTATCTCTGTTACAGGGATATGTACCAAAGGCGTTTAAGGTTGCTGGAATTAAACCTTTAATTAAAGCTATAATGGAGGATGTTTCATTTCAGGGTGGATCATCTAAATCAGTGGTTCTCCTAACTGTCAGGCATTCATGTGATATGTTTATGTAAGGCTGTACGCGCTCGTCCCCATTTTCTCTTACCGCTGGAAAAATCATCTTTAGGAAAGTGAGTTTGTATGAACGATGTAAACAGCAACTTCTAAACAAAGCGTGCATGAGGAGAAATTGGCACGTGCACGCTCTTGCACGCTCTTGCACGCGTTTAAAAGGCATTCCCTCTTGGGAGTGGGTACAGGGTTGTGCTTGTGCATAAGTTTTTCTAAAGTGGAGAGGGCGGGTCTTTTCAAAAGTTCTCAAAAATCCTCCACTATACCTTTAAGAAACCGTCTCTTGACCCAGATGATTTGGTCAATTATAGACCTATATCCAATCTTCCTTTCTGATCTGTAGAAAGTAGTTGTGAAACAAGTGTGCGACTACTTACACCATAATGAACTTTTTGGGATTGGGCTGACGTGAAATCTTAAAAGGCTATTTGAAAAGAAGGCAATTCTTAAAACTCAGTTATGAAATAGAAATAATAAAATCTGCAAAAATAAAATGAGGAAACAAGATCTAAAAAAGCCAAAATATGAGAAAAGAGCAAAGTTACCTTTGAAAAGTTTTCTTTTGAATATTTTTTATTTCAACGTCTAATTTATGAATAGTTTGTTTGTTTTTTTGGCTCAGAAAATGTTTTTTTGTTTTGAAACATGAGAGAGAATGTTGAGAACTTGATGCATGCGCAGGTGTAGTGAGATAGCATGGCCAACAGGGGGAGCATTTAGGTGAGTGTGTGTTAGACCTGTGATGATGGGAGGAAACAACTGCAATCATTTCTTTAAAAAAAACTCCCAGATATATGAGCCTGATGTGGGGATAAGCTGAAGCCGCTTTTCAACAGCTGCACATGAACGGACATTTTTATTTTATTTCCTTTCTTCCTTATACACTGAAAGTAAAGATGATGTGTAAAAAGATGATGGATGTTTAACCCAAACACATGCTGACTTCCTGTCGAACAGCCGTTTGCGATGGCGTCCCTGCTGCTCCTCCTGCTCTCCTTCCTCCTGGGTTTGGCTGATGTTCATGGGGAAAACTTCCGGATCTGTGCCTTCAATCTTCATAATTTTGGGAACTCCAAAGCCAATAAGGAAGCTGTTATGACTATTCTAGCTAAGGTGAGGACTTGATCACACTGCTTTGGTATTTTGCAGAATAAATGCAATGATGCAGAAGAATATTTCCCAGGTCTTTCATGGACGCCTAGTCCTTTCAACACGCAGAAACGCTCAACTCAGATGCTGATGAAGGTTCTCAGTCATCCAGGTCATAGTCATTCCGTAAAAATTCAAAAAATATCCAACCAAGTCCAGTGGATATTTTTTGAATTTTTACGGAAAGCTCAACTCAGATGTTTTCCTGAGCAGGAAGATGAATCTGGTTTGGTGAAGTTGGACGAAGTCTATGCTCTGGTTATGAAAACCATGTTAGTTTGAAATGAAATGAAGGTAGGGGCAACCAGACAAGAACAGAGAAACCAACTAATCTTAGAGGCTTGATTGACATCTGGATCAGCGTTCAGTCAGGTTAGAATAAAACATGGCAGCAGATTAATTCCTGACAGCTAGTGGTTATCCAGGTGACCGTTTTCACATTCACCATCATTCATCCTCTAAACACGCTGAACATCTACAGAAAAGGTGAGACCTGGAGATGTTTTCTGAATTCCAGCCGGGACTTTTCTGACCTTGATTGTGAGTTTATTTTCTGCCTCATGAGGTGAAACTGTGGGTGAGTTTCACCACCAAGCAATGCCTCTGCTGTTTGCTTTCTGTTTCAGATTATTAGCCGCTGTGACGTGTGTTTGCTGCAGGAGGTCAGAGACAGTAAAGGGACGGCTCTACCAAAGCTGCTTCAAGCTATAAGAAGGTGAAGCATCATCTGGTTTCAAGCTCTTCAGCACATGTTCATTGATGTTAGACTGAATGCATCTCATGATGGCAGGTAGTTTTATCCCAGTATATCGCTTCACGTTTATCCCCGAACATGCAAAACTCAAATTCTGAAGTAGATTGTTAATCCCAAAGTGGAATTAATTTATGGAAGCATATCATTACCGTATTTAAAATGAAAAGGCATTTTCAGAAATGCTTTTTCATTTTAAGAATGTGGCTGCATTGTTTGACTCATAAATGAAATTAGTAATCATTAATCCTGTTTGCATTTTCATTTTCTTCTTTAACACAGCTCATCGTTTTACTTAATTAAAATGAAAAAGAAAAAGACATTTGAGATTTATTTTTCAAAATGTACCCCAGCAAATACATATCAAAATTCAATTTGAAATGTAAAATTTTAAAATGAAAAGCATTTCCAGAAATGCTTTTTCATTTTAAATATGGTAATGATTTGCTTCCATATTAATTAGCCTTATAAACCAGACTAAATGTGAGATTAAATGTGTAATTTAACTCTCAGGCAAAAATGATTTTGGCCGCTGGGGGGTGGGGCTAGCTTACAACGCTAGGAACCAACTGTTCCTTCTCTATATTTTATAAGGCTTTCATTTATATGAGGAACAACATGAATCCTATTCAGCCAGTGGCTGTAGACACTGATGCCTGGATCTGGATCTGCTTCTGACTGAACACTCTGTTGGTGTCTAACAGTCTGATGAAGATGATGCTCACTATTGTCCATCATCTTCTTCATCACCAGAGGTTCTAGAGGAGTTCCTAGAACAGAACCTGCCTTCTTTATCAGCTGGTTGAGCTTCTGATGATGATGATGATGATGATGGAGGAAGAGATCAGACTCTCCACAGCAGACTGATAGAAGATCTGTTGCCTCTTAAGGACCTAAGCTTCCTCTAGAAGTCCAGTCTGCTCTGTCCCTTCATGGTTGTGTCTCCAGTCCAGTTAGTTGAAACTCCTCCCCCTCCTCCACCTCTTCTTTCTTCACCATAATGCTGTTTGACTTGTTCCTGTTTCTTCTGAAATGGTGGATGGTTGTTTGTTTGCTGTCAGCAGCTCCTGTTAAAATCAGGCTGTGCCCCCTGACCTCCTTTTGTCCCTGACGGTGGATGGTTCTCTCTGATGCTGGTCCTCGTTTAGCACATAGATACAGCGACACGCTCCCTGGAGTCTGATCCGCTCATCGGTCAGCCATCATCATGGGCCAGGGAATCCTGGTGCTCTCATTTCAGCAGAGCCTCGAATTTAAATGTTTACATCTTGGTGTGGTTGCCTCACACTGTGTCAGTTTCTGTGTTAATCTGGTGAATCTGATTACGGGGGTGAGGAATGCGATGGTGGGAAAATGTTCAAATATTGAGCAGAATAGAATGGCAATGTGCTTATTTTGTGACATCTCATCATGTCTAATTATGCTAGCAGTGCAGCCTTTAATCAATCAGACATTAATGACTGATAATTAACCCCTTATCTGCTGGTGATTCAGGTATGACACCAGGAACCAGTATACATTGTTGGCCAGTGAGAGGCTGGGCAGGTCAGAGTCCTACCAGGAGCAGTACGTGTTCATCTACAGGTCCGTTCTGCTGCGTAATTAAGCCACCGAAGCATTTAAACTAGTTACAAACCTTCTTCGTCCTCATCCAATGCGTGCAGGAGCAACACTGCGACGGTCAGAGATCAGTATCAGTACCCAGATGATCTACCAGGAGATGAAGACGCCTTCTCCAGAGAACCTTTTGTTGTTCGCTTCAGAGCCCCAAAGACATGTGAGTTTCCTAAACAATTATTACTTCAACATAAAATCATCCTTTTTCTTCCTCTGAATTCTTCCTCATTCCATCCCAGATATAAAGGAGTTTGCCCTCATCCCTCAACACACCACTCCGTCTAACGCCACCAAGGAGCTGGATGCTCTCTATGATGTTCTGCAGAAAGTACGAAAGATCTGGAAAATCGAGGTAAAGAGTGAAGTTTAGCTTTAATGCTAATAGGGATTGTGTGATCTTTATAAAATGTGGGGATTGTGTGCTCAGAACGTGATGCTGCTGGGAGACTTCAATGCCGACTGCGATTACCTCCCCAAGAAGAACAGGAAACATGTTCGCCTGCTGACGGACAGCAGCCTCCATTGGCTGATAGCAGATCACAGTGACACCACCGTTCGCCTGAGCACATCCTGCTCCTATGACAGGTCAGCTGCTAACATAGAGCTGTATGACCTAGATAAACCAGGGACATTACAGAAGATTCGCTATGGGTTGTTTGCCATGCGTCTGTTTGAAATAAAATTCTCCTCATTTACAGTGAAATAGGAAATAAGATCAGGCCTTCTCATTATTTCATTACGCCGATCCATCCGATCAAACATCCTAGAAGCTAAAACAGAATCATCTGACTGCATGTTTTAAAGGATTGGTCAATAAAATCTAATCAGAGTTGAACCAAAAAGCAAAGAAAGACAGTTTGATTTGAGCATCTGAAAGTTTGATCTGTTCATATAATCAAAGCAAAACATAAATAAGAAATAAAATCTTACGGTTTCTGCTGATTCGGTCAATCTGTCATCACTACTGATGAGCAGAATGTGTTGCTTCATTTAAACAGTATGATGTGTATATGATGCGCTGCAGTTAGTGGTTATTTTTCCATTGAATGAATAAGGGGACAGCTGACGGTTCACAGTAGCATTCAGAATCTGAAGCATGTGAAGCTAAACCTGCTCCAGGAGGAGCTCTGGTTAGAAAAAAAATAGATTAATTCTCCTTAAATGTTTCTTTTGGGCTCAATCATTGCAGAAAATGGCTTTCAGTTCAAGTTCTTCCCTAAATATCAACTATTTCATCCTTAATGATCATAAATGTTCTGATTTTCCAACAGGATTGTTGTTCACGGAGAAACGTTTAACAAAGCGGTTGTTCCTTCTTCAGCCAAACCCTTTAACTTCCAACAGGAGTACAGCCTGACAGAGGAACAGGTGAGCCGTCCGGATCTATCTGTTCTGGATCTATCTGCAGCGTATCATTTGAACTCTGCGCTCAGGTTGGGATCCTTTAGACAAAGACTGTGTTCATCAGATAAAATCTTTCTGTTTTTCTCCTTTATTCAGGCGCTGGATGTGAGCGACCATTACCCAGTGGAGGTCCTTCTGAAGGTCACTGGTTCCAGTGCCTTTAATGGGATCGTCTCCTTCACCAGTTACTGCACAGTGTTTCATAGTTTCAGCTTTTTAATCTTTCATGTCTTATTATAGTATCTAAAGAATGAATAAATAGTCTGAGATGTTTGTTTTTTTTTTTTTTACCTCTGAAGGAATTTCAGGAAAGCTAAACCAATTCTTCATTAAACTAAAGCACCTTTTTTAAAACAACTTTTTTACTTTAGAAAATGATAGTGAAAAAATAATTATTTCATTATTACAAAGTCACTTTAAATTCACTAAGATTGCGTAAAGTATTTATCTAAAACAATCTGCTGATCATGTAAAAAATAAATGTTCTGCTGATATATATATATGGGTTTTATATTTCATGTTCTTTGACAATCATGCAAGTTTTGTCACTTTTATTATACAAGTTTTCACAAATGAAGCACTCTTATTGCCTAAGCACTCTTATTATCTAAGTTTCTGTTTCCCTGAGAGCATGATATCATTTATTTTTGTACTCACGAGCTCTCTGTGCCAGGCTCTGACCTTGATGTAATTTGTTTTTGGTTTCACGCCGGAAACATATTTTGGTTTCTGTAATCATGCGCTCCAGGCGTGAGAGGGAGCAATCATTTTCCTGATTGGGTCAAAGATTTTCCGTTGAAGTTTGGCATAAAGGACGGGTGGTGGTTGGCACTGGCAGAGTCTGCTAGGGTTGCGTACGAACGCCTAGCTGCGCGGGTTGCTGCCTTGCCAGGGTCGACTGGCTCTCCGATCCTTTGTGTCACGTTAAGATGGACAATATAATTTGTATTCATCACCGTGCCTTAGTTGATGTGCTTGCTTTGCTGTCCTCTGTGGTGGAATAAAACGACACATTTTACTCTAGCAGACACAGTGTGTGTGTATCTGTGTGTCATCTTTATTACAGACTCATCCTGATCCTGCCTAAATTTCATAATACATCTGCTCTTCTTCTCATTTCCAGGATATTTATCCATAAAAGAGCTAAAGCAAAAAAAAAAAGAGAAATTTGTGTTTCTAGTCTCACTTTGTCTGAACTCAGTAAGGACTCGTAAGCCATCGCCATGATCAGTCCTGTCCGAATAGTGCAGGCAGTTAGGAAGGAGGTAGGAAAAGGAAGCAGGATGATGCTATCATTGTTCCTTTAGCATAGGGAGCTCATGAGGTTCCTATCTGGAGCTAAGGCGCTCTCTATGCTAATGCAAATGCCACTGTATGTTTAAGGCCTGGTTATCCTCCCACAGCAATGTGTCGCAGGTATGTTGCTGATTTGTCTGGCAATTTGGCAATAACAATAATTGTCTTGATGCCAAAAAGGGCCCATCAGATTTTGCTTTCACAAGTGGAGTAGTAGGGCTATCGCCATAGTGTTCCGCTTGATTTATGATTATAAATAGCTTTATTATAATTAGGCAGAGAGTTTTACAGGTTATATCAACGCTGCAATGTAAGTAGAACAGGAAAGAAAAACAGAAAAAAAGGTGAAAAGATGAAAGAAGGGAGATAAAAGGGAGATAACGATAAAACATCTTCAGTCTGCTTCATCACCTGCAAAGAGATGGAAAAAGAACAGCACAACCATGAACATGGTACAAGATATACATACAATAAAGTAACACCTAGGTACTATCGCTGAAGTATTAATTAGTATTATTTAATCTGACATGTACTCTGTGTTACCTGAGGATAAGAATATGAGCTTTCTGTATGAAAGTCAATCTCTGAGTACCGGAAACCAAGCACCTGTAGTTGTTTGTGAGAGTGCACTTGTGCACTGCATGTAAAGTTTATCCAAAGGAAAGATGCTCAATAGTGGTTGTGAAGAGTCATAGACGCACCCCTCCCCAGAGCCGACGCCTGCGTCGGGGAACCCAAAGCCCCAGATGCCCAAAGGGACCCCAAACAATCCACCGGACTTGGTTTCCAAGGTTTGAAGACGTTTCGCTGCGAAACGTCTTCAAACCTTGGAAACCAAGTCCGGTGGATTGTTTTTAAACTTTTACGGAGTGACTATGACCTGGATGACTGAGAATCTTCATCAGCATACATGTGTTGTTAAAAAATAAAAAATAAAGTACAACAAAAAACAATCCAGTCTAAGCTGTCAGGAAGTGCTGAAAAACAAGCTTTCACCTTCCAACTGTCTGAACCACAGATTTCACAATTTCCTCCTTCCTGGTGGCATGGTGCAGATATTGATCACATAGTTTAGGTCTGCAGCTCCAGAACCAGATGGAGATCTTTGGTCTTTTCTCTACAATAAGAAATCATTTTAACTTTTTCGTCAGTGAGAAAAGCAATCCTACATCTGCAGAGAAAACATCACAACTTTTAAAAGTAATTTCCAGCTTTGACTACGTTCTCTATGTTTTTAGATGATCAGCTGTCATCATTATGGCCTCCCACTCAGCTTGACTCATCCTGAAAAGCATTTTTCTTTGCAAAATTTTATGGTACAGTTTTTTCTTCTAAAATAGAAAATCTTAGTTTTTAATTTCCTCGATCTCAATATTTTTATTTTGGATTTTGATCAAACTGATCTTGAAGCTTCGGTGGGAAAAGAGCTCCTTGACTCATAAAGTTCACAGAATCCTGTTAAATGTATAAAAAGTGACGCTAGGTGAGGAAAACAATCAGCTAATTTCTGCTGCAGTGAGGTTAGCAGTAAAGGAACCTGTGGCGTAATGTATGCGTTGCTAGGCAACACATGCTAATAACTGATGGCAGCCATTGAACTAATGCTCCTCACCAGATGGTGGCGGTAGCGCCTCTTCTTCGGCTCAAATAGAACGAGGAGCAGAAGAAGAAGTCACTTCCGCTTCCGGCTGAGCTCCGCCAGCCTCTCCTGATCCTTCTCCTTGGAAGAAAAGCTGGAATTTTCTGTTCGCCGGAGAGGAGCTGCTGCTTCCCGCTACCAGCATCCCTGACAGGCTGACCCTGGTAACCTTTGACCCCTCAGTGACCCCTCAGTGGTCCCGCTGCCGGAGGCTCCGGACGGCCCCCCGCTAACCTTGGCGGACCTGCTTAGAGTTCAGGCCGGAGGCAGGATGCAGGGAGACCGCTGATGACCACAGAGCCCGACCCCAGGTAGGACAGGTTTGATCTGGAATATTCAGCTCTACACCGGCTGGCAGAAAACCAGCCTGTTCACAACCAGCCTGTTAGATCAGAAAACCAGCCTGATCCATCTGATCTGGATCTGTGTTGATCCATCTGATCTGGATCTGTGTTGATCCATCTGATGCGGATCTGTGTTGATCCATCTGATGCGGATCTGTGTTGATCCATCTGATGCGGATCTGTGTTGATCCATCTGATCTGGATCTGTGTTGATCCATCTGATCTGGATCTGTGCTGATCCATCTGATGTGGATCTATGTTGATCCATCTGATGTGGATCTATGTTGATCCATCTGATGTGGATCTATGTTGATCCATCTGATCTGGATCTATGTTGATCCATCTGATGTGGATCTATGTTGATCCATCTGATGTGGATCTATGTTGATCCATCTGATGTGGATCTATGTTGATCCATCTGATGTGGATCTATGTTGATCCATCTGATGTGGATCTATGTTGATCCATCTGATCTGGATCTGTGTTGATCCATCTGATCTGGATCTGTGTTGATCCATCTGATGCGGATCTGTGTTGATCCATCTGATCTGGATCTGTGTTGATCCATCTGATGTGGATCTATGTTGATCCATCTGATCTGGATCTGTGCTGATCCATCTGATCTGGATCTATGCTGATCCATCTGATCTGGATCTATGCTGATCCATCTGATCTGGGTCTATGTTGATCTATCTGATCTGGATCTATGTTGATCCATCTGATGTGGATCTATGTTGATCCATCTGATCTGGATCTATGTTGATCCATCTGATCTGGATCTATGTTGATCCATCTGATGTGGATCTATGTTGATCCATCTGATCTGGATCTATGTTGATCCATCTGATCTGGATCTATGTTGATCCATCTGATCTGGATCTATGTTGATCCATCTGATCTGGATCTATGTTGATCCATCTGATGTGGATCTATGTTGATCCATCTGATCTGGATCTGTGTTGATCCATCTGATCTGGATCTGTGTTGATCCATCTGATGCGGATCTGTGTTGATCCATCTGATCTGGATCTGTGTTGATCCATCTGATGCGGATCTGTGTTGATCCATCTGATCTGGATCTGTGTTGATCCATCTGATCTGGATCTATGTTGATCCATCTGATCTGGATCTATGTTGATCCATCTGATCTGGATCTATGTTGATCCATCTGATCTGGATCTATGTTGATCCATCTGATCTGGATCTATGTTGATCCATCTGATCTGGATCTATGTTGATCCATCTGATCTGGATCTATGTTGATCCATCTGATCTGGATCTATGTTGATCCATCTGATGTGGATCTATGCTGATCCATCTGATCTGGATCTATGTTGATCTATCTGATCTGGATCTATGTTGATCCATCTGATCTGGATCTATGTTGATCCATCTGATCTGGATCTATGTTGATCCATCTGATCTGGATCTATGTTGATCCATCTGATCTGGATCTATGTTGATCCATCTGATCTGGATCTATGTTGATCCATCTGATCTGGATCTATGTTGATCCATCTGATCTGGATCTATGTTGATCCATCTGATCTGGATCTATGCTGATCCATCTGATCTGGATCTGTGCTGATCCATCTGATCTGGATCTATGCTGATCCATCTGATCTGGATCTATGCTGATCCATCTGATCTGGATCTATGCTGATCCATCTGATCTGGATCTATGTTGATCCATCTGATCTGGGTCTATGTTGATCTATCTGATCTGGATCTATGTTGATCCATCTGATGTGGATCTATGTTGATCCATCTGATGTGGATCTATGTTGATCCATCTGATGTGGATCTGTGTTGATCCATCTGATCTGGATCTGTGTTGATCCATCTGATGTGGATCTATGTTGATCCATCTGATCTGGATCTATGTTGATCCATCTGATCTGGATCTGTGTTGATCCATCTGATCTGGATCTGTGTTGATCCATCTGATGCGGATCTGTGTTGATCCATCTGATCTGGATCTGTGTTGATCCATCTGATCTGGATCTATGCTGATCCATCTGATCTGGATCTATGCTGATCCATCTGATCTGGATCTATGCTGATCCATCTGATCTGGATCTATGCTGATCCATCTGATCTGGATCTATGTTGATCCATCTGATCTGGGTCTATGTTGATCTATCTTATCTGGATCTATGTTGATCCATCTGATGTGGATCTATGTTGATCCATCTGATCTGGATCTATGTTGATCCATCTGATCTGGATCTATGTTGATCCATCTGATCTGGATCTATGTTGATCCATCTGATCTGGATCTATGTTGATCCATCTGATCTGGATCTATGTTGATCCATCTGATCTGGATCTATGTTGATTCATGTGATGTGGATCTAGTATTATCCATATGATCTGGATCTTTAACAACTTAAAATGCATCATTCCTCATTTCCTAACTTTCTGAATAAGGTGCAGCGTGTTTCTGCAGCCTCTGGTGTTTTTTCTGCTCTCTTCTCCTTCATTCTCCTCCTTCAATCTCCTTCATTCTCCCCCTTCATTCTCCTCCTCCTCTTTCATTCTCCTCCTGCATTCTCCTCCTGCTCTCTTCTCCTTCATTCTCCTCCTTCAATCTCCTTCATTCTCCCCCTTCATTCTCCTCCTCCTCTTTCATTCTCCTCCTGCATTCTCCTCCTTCCTTCTCCTCCTTCTCCTTCATTCTCCTCCTTCCTTCTCCTCCTCCCTCCTCCTCTTATCAGCAGGTAGAGGTGTAACTCCTGTTGGACGTTCTGAGGCTGATACTGAAGCTGTCAGTGTTCTCTGCTGCCATCTGCTGGTTTAGGGAGGAACTGCTTGTTCTGCCAAATAATGTCAGATAATCCTTTATAAAACTCCTGCATTCAGATTATAATCTGGATCATCACCAACATTTAATGGATTGTTCCTCAGCGGGAGGCCCGTCTCTGATAAAAATTTCATTTATTGTGAACACAGACAGACAAACTCTCCTAAAAACATTACCTCTCAGGGGGGGGGGAATAAATCTTTATCTTGTTAGCTCCATCCTGAAATGGAGACTATTTCTAACTGGAACCTGAGAAATGGTTAAAATGGCCTTTTTTTTAACAGTTAAAGTTAGCTGGTAATGAGGACTCTGTTCAAACTGTGTCCCTGAGTTTGTAAAGTCAGTTAATTAGAAACGATCTGCCTCTAGAGGACCTGTGCAACACCTTTCTTTGTTTCCAGGGGAATCTTTTACTGGTTGAATTCTGCAGCTCTGTTCTTTACAGGCGTTTCTGACTTTCTGGTTTATCTAGTCTAAACTTTTTCTGTCCTTTTTTTATGGGTGAATAATTATCCAACCTTTATAGCTGACAGAAACCTGGCTGCGGTTAGCAGAGCGATCATTAGCATCATTAGCTGCATCAGGGTGGTTCCTCTACTAATCCAACCTTTACTCTGCTGTCTCTGCAGTGCCATGTCTGTATCTGCCGCCCCTTTACCATTTCCATGCAAGAAGAAGAAGCGAGTAATGGCTGAAATCAATGTGTCGCCACTGAAGCACTTTGTCACCGCAAAGAAGAAGATCAACGGGATATTTGAACAGCTCGGCACCTACATCAAGGAGAGTGCCTCCTTTCTAGAAGGTGAGTTTGGTCTCTATCACTTTAAAAACCTTCTGAAAGTGTAGAAGGTTAAGGCAGAGGAATCCTGAAGTATATAAAGAAAACAGTAAAAATATTAAAAAGTCTTTAAACTGTAAAACAAACCATCAGAATGTAAAGCAGGAGATTAGGGGTCCTAGGAAGGGCAGCGGGTGAGTGCGGGGAGGCGGGCAAGTGGGGGGCGGCGGGTGAGAAAGTGTTAGAAGAACTTCTAATGATCCTGTTTAACAGCTGCAAACATGAATAATAGAAATAATCCCAAAAGCTGAAGGTTTTAGGAGCACCGCTCACAGGCAGGGCCGTAACCAGGATTTTTGAAATACCGAGGTCATCACCATTAACATCATTGTTACTGTTATTATTTGAATTATTATTACTACTTTTATTATTGTCGCCATCATCAGTGGACCACTAAATGAATAAAATGAATTGCAATAATATATCACAAGAGGGCGCTGCAGCACATCTAATGGAAGGTGGAAATGTGTACACATTATCAGTCGTGCAATTTGATTGTTATAGCCAGGTATGCTCGTGTGCAGCAACAGTTTCTTCTTCTGCTGTCCACTTGATCAACCCAACGGTAATCAGACCCGTTTGATTGTCTCTTAAATAAACCAGAAATAGCAGGAATCTGTATTCTTCATAATGCATCATGAGCAACGCAACTAGGCTACCTGAAGAAAAATGTGGTATTATTTCATTCTATTATTTTGCCCTGTGTGCATCAATAGTTTTAAGTTGGCTCCGACTGTAAAACAAAATCCTAGTGCCAGTTGAAATGCTTGCGATGAGCATCCTATTCCTAGCCGTGCTCCTGCTCCTCCTCCTGCTGCTCCTCCTCCTGCTGCTCCTACATTAACAGGTGAAATGAACTCACCTGCATCTCTTTCTTTCCCACCTGACCTGTTGGCTTTCCAAAGCTGAGTTTAGTTTGTTTCAGCGTAGATTTCTTCATCTTGCCTCCATTTCCAGATTCCACCACTAATAACTGTTAGCCTCTTCTATCTTGTGGGCGGCTGACTTTGGCGAAGTAATATGACAGAATGCTTTTAAAATAACGGGATTTTATAAGGTGATTGTGGACTTTATTTTTTATTTTTTTTTCAAACAAATGAGAATGCATTCTTATCTTTACACCAATACAAGTCAGAACAATTTTCATCCTATAGTTTGACATTTCTCTGAATTAAAAAGATATGATAATAATAATAAAAAAATGGGATAATACTGAGGACACGACGTCTGTGTTCTCAATGCTGCTGCTCCTCCTCCTCCTGCTGCTCCTCCTCCTCCTGCTGCTCCTCCTCCTTGGTTTAGCTGCTGCATCATTGGGCTTCATTTAGCTTAAACTGACTGGATAAGTGTTTCTAATATTCCACTGAGTGTTTGCAGGTTTCCTCTTCCTCCTCCTCTTCCTGTCTTCCTGTGCGTCTGTTAGGTTCAAAAATGTAGGTTCATAAAAGAGGGACTGAGTCCACACAGAAAGGGATTTTCAACAGCTCCTGCAGAAGGAGGGAGAGCTACGCCCAACTCACTAACCCTCTCTGACGGACCTCCTCTGCAGAGCCTTTTTATTAACAGATCATAACACATGGGGTGGGTTACAAAACAGAGCATTCTTCTGACAAGACAATTGATCAGGTCATAAGACAGAATGCTCCACTGATTGAATCACAAGACGGAGTGAAGCATCTCATTTCCTCAATGTTTTATATGCACACACATTTACTTTATAATCATCATTGAATAAACCTAACAGTCTTCTTCCCTCCTTCTGTCTCCTGCTGGTTCCCATCAAGTACCACATCAGCTCAGATGGTTGGATGTCTGGTTCTTTAAATACATCCTGACATGTTCCTCCATCCCTCCTCATCCAATCAGAGTCAAAATTAGAATCTGGGAAAAAAATAGTTGAATGTAAAGGAAAAAAAACACATTTTAACCAGAAACTTTAACCCAAAGATCATTAAAAATATTAGAATCGGTCATTTAGTAAATGTTTCTTTTAATTGTAAGAATCATTTCAGTTTATATTTTTTCGGATATTTTTATAGTTTTGAGTAGAGATGTCCCGATCGAGGTGTTTGCACTTCCGATCCGATACCGATATTGTTTTTGGACTTCCGATCCGATACCGATACTGGCCGATACCAGCCTATTCAAGCATGTATTTAAGTTTAAGTTAAAGTATTTAGCCTTAGTTGTAAGACTCATGTTGAAAAGGGTTTTAGTACTCTTGATAACATCTAGCCAGCTGAATTAGGTGAGATTAAATAAAACACAATGATTGGTAACAACAAACTTACCTGTTTATTAAGAGATAAACACAAACTGGACAAAATTATGAATAGCAATCTGAAATTGCACAGTGAACAGTAAAATCGTAAACAGTTAAAGGTGCAGGTATTACTGTAAGTTTTATTAAAAATGCAAAACAGACAAGAGTGGAAAATATTCTATTAACTTAGAATCAGGACTCTACTCTTGAAAAAAGACACAGCTTAAAAAAAAACCAGTGCAAATAACAGTAAACTATTACACAAAAATGCCTTATACTCCCCAATCTCCTCCACACCTAGTCTCCATCTACACATCGTGCAGGATAAAATAATCCCACACGGCTGACATTTCCCCGCTATCTTCCCATTGACCCGTTTTAATGGTTAAGCCGGGAGACAGACCCAAAAAGACCTGTGGGTGTGTTGAAGGTGTTCTGGAAAATGCGGACCGGATTCGGGTAACACTGGCGCAAAATAGTGGAATGGATCGTTTCAATCGGCGAAACTGGAAAATACGGACCGGACTTTTTAAAAACTGGATCGGCAGTCTGGATCGGCATTTTTACATTCTTTGCCGATACGCATTTTTTTGCCAATATCGGCATCCGATCCGATACGTGGATCGGATCGGGACAAGCCTAGTTTTGAGCCTTCCTCCCTCTGAGTCATGTTTCCATCAATGTTTAGATACCTACAGAAACGATGAGCTGGACCCGGTGGCCACCGAGGAGCAGGTCCAGGAGGTCTGCAGCTACCTGTCCAAGGTGGCCGGAATAGGAGAGGTTCTGGCCCGGAGGCACATGAAGGTGGTCTTCTTTGGAAGGTAACTGGGTGGTTTTTTACTTGATGCTTCGATGGCTGATAACAGACATTTAAAGGAGACCTGACTGCTTTTCATGTTTTTTCTAAATAGCCGCTATAAAATGCTTTCATCAAATATATGTTTGACTGTATGATCTGGTTGAACTGTAAAGTGCCTTGAGATGACATGTGTTGTGAATTTGGCGCTATATAAATAAACTGAATTGAATTGAATTATATTTTATAGTGTAAATGCAGTAAACATGTGACCAGTTGAACAAATATTGACGCTTTTATCAGTTTCTACAAACGGCTCAGCTCTGCTGTCAGCGTCGGGTTCGGACCTGTTGTTCATTTCTGTAGTTGGAAATGATTCAACATCTGACGTGTCTGCAGGGTGATACCCCGCATGCTAACATTAGCATTTTAGCTCAGGATAGCAAGGTGGGCGGTATTGCTAGCATGCTTTCCTTGCTAACTGTGTCTGGGCTCCTCCACAGAACCAGTAACGGGAAGAGTTCTGTGATCAACGCCATGCTGTGCGATAAAGTCCTGCCCTCTGGCATCGGACACACCACCAACTGCTTCCTGAGGGTGGAGGGCACCGACGGCAGCGAGGGCTTCCTCCTCACCGAAGGCTCCGAGGACAGGAAAAGCATTACGGTTGGTGACCGAGCGACCCGGCGGGTCGGCGGTGTGTTTGTGGTCGGTCAGTGGGTGGAGTCTGATCTGGAGATGTCTGTGATTAGACGGTGAACCAGCTGGCTCACGCTCTGCACCAGGATGTGGACCTGGACGCCGGCAGCCTGGTCTGCGTCATGTGGCCCAAAGCCAAGTGTGCTCTGCTCAGAGATGATTTGGTGCTGTTGGACAGGTAAAAACGCTTTAGCTTCTGGAGGTCAGATAAACGTTGTTCTGTGTGATAACCTTTGCTTTCTGCAGCCCTGGCATAGATGTCACCACGGAACTGGACAGCTGGATCGATAAGTTCTGTCTGGACGCAGACGTGTTTGTCCTGGTAGCAAACTCTGAATCCACGCTCATGCAAACGGTGAGACGCCAAACATCTGAGCTTGACTCAAACATTTAAAGAAGCTAACGCTGATCCAACCGTCACGTCTGCAGGAGAAGTCCTTCTTCCATAAAGTCAACGAGCGTCTCTCCAGTCCCAATATTTTCATCCTCAACAACCGCTGGGATGCGTCTGCCTCAGAGCCGGAGTATATGGAGGAGGTTAGTGAAGGTTCTGCTTCAGCATTTCAAGGCTTCCAAGGAGCCACACGGGACTCTGGTCCCTTTAGACGCTCAGTTCTCCACCTCTGCTGTTTCCTAACGGCTGCTGTTGATCTGGGAACAGGTCCGCCGGCAGCACATGGACCGCTGCTCCAACTTTCTGGTGGAGGAGCTGGGGGTGGTGGACAGAGCTCAGGCCAGTGACCGCATCTTCTTTGTGTCGGCCAAAGAAGTGCTGCAGGCTCGCGTGCAGAAGGCCCAGGGGATGCCGGAATCAGGTGGGTGGAGCCAACCTGAAGGTTGATCTGATCCAACCCAGAGAGTCCAGAACTCAGGCCTGTTCTCTGCAGGTGGAGCTCTAGCTGAAGGATTTCAAGCCAGAATGTTTGAGTTCCAAAACTTCGAGAGGCGATTTGAGGTAAGATCCTTTAACGTAGAGCTTCATTTCAGTCAGAGGAGGATCTGCTTACAGGCTTGTTTTCATCGTGATAAGAATCTGAAGAAGATGCTGAACTAAACCGTGATGAAGGACGGACCCCAACATCCTGTTTACCAGATTTAATTCACAAACTAACACGAGATTCTCACCTTTTCCTCTCAACAAATGTTGACTGTTTGTACGACAGGTTAGAAACACGCAGATATCTGTGCTGTAGATCTAAAGCATATAGATGTCTGTAGCAGAGCTGCCTTTTAAGTACAGACGCTTGATGTTCCCCTCTGCTTTAGCTAGCTGCTAACGCTTGATGTTCCCTTCTGCATTAGCTAGCTGCTAACGCTTGATGTTCCCCTCTGCTTTAGCTAGCTGCTAACGCTTGATGTTCCCCTCTGCATTAGTTAGCTGCTAACGCTTGATGTTGCCCTCTGCTTTAGCTAGCTGCTAACGCTTGATGTTCCCCTCTGCATTAGCTAGCTGCTAACGCTCTATGTTCCACTCTGCTTTAGGTGGCTACTAACGCTTGATGTTCCCCTCTGCATTAGCTAGCTGCTAACGCTTGATGTTCCCCTCTGCATTAGCTAGCTGCTAACGCTTGATGTTCCACTCTGCTTTAGCTAGCTGCTCATGCTTTATGTTCCCCTCTGCATTAGCTAGCTGCTAACGCTTGATGTTCCACTCTGCTTTAGCTAGCTGCTCATGCTTGATGTTTCCCCTCTGCTTTAGCTAGCTGCTAACGCTTGATGTTCCACTCTGCTTTAGCTAGCTGCTAACGCTTGATGTTCCCCTCTGCATTAGCTAGCTGCTAACGCTTGATGTTCCACTCTGCTTTAGCTAGCTGCTCATGCTTGATGTTTCCCCTCTGCTTTAGCTAGCTGCTAACGCTTGACGTTGCCCTCTGCTTTAGCTAGCTGCTAACGCTTGATGTTCCACTCTGCTTTAGCTGGCTACTAACGCTTGATGTTCCTCTCTGCTTTAGCTAGCTGCTAACGCTTGATGTTCCTCTCTGCTTTAGCTAGCTGCTAACGCTTTATGTTCCCCTCTGCTTTAGCTAGCTGCTAATGCTTTATGTTCCCCTCTGCTTTAGCTAGCTGCTAACGCTTGATGTTCCCCTCTGCATTAGCTAACTGCTAACGCTTGATGTTCCACTCTGCTTTAGCTAGCTGCTAACGCTTGATGTTATCCTCTGCATTAGCTAGCTGCTAACGCTTGATGTTCCACTCTGCTTTAGCTAGCTGCGAACGCTTGATGTTCCACTCTGCTTTAGCTAGCTGCTAACGCTTGATGTTCCACTCTGCTTTAGCTAGCTGCTAATGCTTGATGTTTCCCCTCTGCTTTAGCTAGCTGCTAATGCTTGATGTTCCCCTCTGCTTTAGCTAGCTGCTAACGCTTGATGTTTCCCCTCTGCATTAGCTAGCTGCTATCGCTTGATGTTCCCCTCTGCATTAGCTAGCTGCTAACGCTTGATGTTCCCCTCTGCATTAGCTAGCTGCTAACGCTTTATGTTCCCCTCTGCTTTAGCTAGCTGCTAACGTTTGATGTTCCCCTCTGCTTTAGCTAGCTGCTAACGCTTGATGTTTCCCCTCTGCATTAGCTAGCTGCTATCGCTTGATGTTCCGCTCTGCATTAGCTAGCTGCTAACGCTTGATGTTCCCCTCTGCATTAGCTAGCTGCTAACGCTTTATGTTCCCCTCTGCTTTAGCTAGCTGCTAACGTTTGATGTTTCCCCTCTGCATTAGCTAGCTGCTATGTTCCCCTCTGCTTTAGCTAGCTGCTAACGCCTGATGTTTCCCCTCTGCTTTAGGTAGCTGCTAACGCTTGATGTTTCCCCTCTGCTTTAGCTAGCTGCTAACGTTTGATGTTCCCCTCTGCATTAGCTAGCTGCTAACACTTGATGTTGCCCTCTGCTTTAGCTAGCTGCTAACGCTTAAAGTTGCCCTCTGCTTTAGCTAGCTGCTAACGCTTAATGTTCCGCTCTGCTTTAGCTAGCTGCTAACGCTTAATGTTCCGCTCTGCTTTAGCTAGCTGCTAACGCTTAATGTTCCGCTCTACTTTAGCTAGCTGCTAATGCTTGATTCCTGTGGATTTCCTTGGCCATGTGCTCATCGGTCTGCTGTCTCCAGGAATGCATCTCCCAGTCTGCGGTGAAGACCAAGTTCGAGCAGCACACAGTCCGAGCTAAGCAGATCTCTGAAGCTCTGCGGCGCATCATGGACCTGGTTCACACAGCTGCCCAGGAACAGAGGTGAGTGGAGGCCCTGCTGTTCCTGACTGATGATCTTCTGCTGTTTGGTTCAACAGAGAAGCTCCGCCTCCTTTAGAAGAACCAAACGGTTAACTTCCTGTCTTTAATATCAGGTCTGTGTTCATTTTAAAGCAGCTTCTCTAGCAGCAGGTTTGAACACATCCGGAGCAACATGGTGGTTCTGTTGGGTCATGCCCTCAGTGCAGGACGCCTAAAGCTTCTGATGGTTTCTGTGTCTTACTGGAGGTCACGGGGTCGTGACTGTGTGGCTTCCTGTTTCCTCAGACTCTACTGCGTGGAGACAAAGGAGGATCGTCAGCAGCGGCTGGAGTTTATAGAGAAGCAGCTGGACCTGCTGACCATGGACTGCAAGGCCAAGATCAAGAAGATCACAGAGGAGGTGGAGAGGCAGGTGAGCTCCTCCTCCTCAGGCTCCACCCATCAGCTTATGACGCAAAAACACCAAACCTGCTGTTTGATGTTTGCTGACTCTGCTCTCATGTCCAGGTAACCAACACCATGGCAGAGGAAATCAGGAGGCTGCATGTGCTGGTGGACGACTTCCACATGGACTTCCACCCGTCACCAGTGGTCCTCAAGGTCTACAAGAACGTATGTTTCACCTCGAAGGTTCCTTCATACATCTATAACAGTTTGCTCTGTCTTGGTTGGTAGACTTCTGTTTCAAACTGTGGAAGAAGAAAAGGTGAACTTTGACCTTTGACCCTTTAAATGTAGGACACTTTTATATTTGTTGAAGGAGAGGATATATTCTATATTATGTACTTTTTCAAAGTTCTAACTTCAGACTAAATGAAAGTCAATAGTAAAATTCTTTACTGAGGTAAACTTTAGACTTGGAGGCTTTGACAAACTGTCTTCTTGTACACAGATTGTTTACAAAACGAACTTTTGATGCGTTCAGGTTTCCAACCGTGAAGGAGCAGCTTAGCAGTGAAATTAACATTTCCTTTTATAAAGTGCAGCAGTGATCAGGATGTAAACACTGTAGGAGAAAAGGAAACCAGTTTAAAGTCATGGAGCAAAAGGCTTTGATATGGAAGGTTTAGTGCCAAATAAATACATAAATAAATATGGTGCAAAATGCAGGAGAACACTGAGTTGTTTTCTATTTAAAGGGATTATAAAACCAACCATGTAGAGCAAAAATTATGATATCATTGTGATGCAGAGTCTGGATTAGAGTTCAACAGTTCATCAGTGTGATGGCGGTGGGGAAGAAGCTGCTGCAGAACCTGCTGGTCCTGCATTGAATGCTGTGAAGCCTCTTCCCAGCAGGGAGAACAGTCCATGGTGGGGGGGTGAGGGGTCATTGATGATGTCACGGGCTCGGGAAACACGCAGCGCTGGGATGAAATGTCTTTAATGGAGGGAAGAGGAGCCCCCACGATCCTCTCTGCTGTTCTCACCTTCTTCCAGTCTGAGGCGCTGCAGCCTCCACACCACACAGTGAGACAGCTGCTCAGAGCGCTCTCTATGGTGCTTCTGGAGAAGGTGGGGAGGATGGGGGGGGGCAGGTGGGGGCAGGTGGAGCGTGGTTAGGCCGGTTCTTTCTCTATGGAAAAACGTGTCAGCAGCAGAAACATGATTCACCTTCCTGGAAGAAGGACTGCAGGTCGGCACCTTCTAGCTAAACACCGGTGTTACATTGGTCCAGGTTTCCCCTTCAGACGTGAAGAGGAGGAAGAATAGGCCCGCCTCCTATTTAAAGATCCCACGGTCGCTAGCTGAGTTAGCTAAATGTCCTGGTTATTGGAGCAACTCTGTGTTCTGTGCTAACGGGCTCCTTTCAGGCGTAAAGCAGTGGTTCTCTGTTCCAGGAGCTGCATCGCCACATAGAGGAGGGTCTGGGGAAGACCATGTCTGAGAGGTGCTCCAGCTCCATCACCTGCGCCCTGCAGGCCACCCAGATGGAGATGATGGGTAAAACCTTCCTTCCTGCTGCCATATTACTGCTCTGATGGTTCAGAGATGCTTCCTTCCTTTCATTGCCTGAAATGTTTCCTGCATGGAGTGTAGATCTAATCTATCTAGATCTGAGCTCTGAGTTTGCTCTCTGCCTATAGAATCAGTCCAGGCTAATGTTAGCTTGGTGACACCCTTCCTGGGTTCTTTTTGTTCCAATCAATGTAAACTTGAGCTAATGGTGTTGTGGTTTCCATCAGAGGGCCTGAAGCCGCTGCTGCCCATCTCTGCCAAAGATCAGGTGGACAAGATAGTTCCCCGCCAGTACTTCAGCCTGACCTATGACCTGGCCTGTGACAAGCTGTGCAGCGACTTCCAGGAGGACATCAGCTTCCACTTCTCCCTGGGATGGACCATGCTGGTCAACCGCTTCCTGGGCCCCAAGAACACGCGGCGTGCCCTCATGGGCTACAGCGAGCAGGTAGCCTCTGCTCTGGCATCAGGGGGATGCAGAACATGGTCAACAGAAACAACTGAAACAATAGAGTCTGAGTTTGGCTCCCTCTGCTGGAAGCAAATATATATTGCAAGGACAAATATTCAGCAAAGGATCCGAAAATACTTAAGTATTTATAAATACCTGCTCATTATCGTCATCATCATAGGATTCTTCTGGCCTCAAATTTTTAAACCAGAGTTTGTAGAAAATAAAGTTTTGGTTACAGCAATCAGAAACAGGACGAGGTTTCCTTAAGCTGTTCAGCTGATTGAACCTTTGCTGCAGTGATTAGGATTAGGAACAAGATCAGGGCCATGATCAGGACTAGGATCAGGATTTAGGATATGTATAGGGGTTAGGATTTGGGCCAGGATCAAGACCAGGATTAGGACCGGGATATAGATAGGGATTAGGATTAGGACATGGATCAGGATCAAGATTAGTACCAGGATCGGGGCAAGTATCGGGATTAGGATCAGGATCAGGACTAGGATTCAATTCAATTCAGTTTATTTCTATGGGGCCATTTCACATTGCGTCATCTCAAGGCTCTTTCCAGTTCACCAGATCATCCTGTTCAAAGTTTTCTATCTAAGGAAAACCAGCCGATTGCATCAACTAATTGACTCTTCAGCAATCCCTCAGACTAAGCATGCTTGTAGCGACAGTGGAGAGGAAAAACAGGAAGTATCTCCAGCAGAACCAGCCTCGGTGTGAGCGGCCTTCTGCTGAGGCCGACTGGGGTTCAAGGAGACAGAAGCAGACATAGAAAAAGAAGCATAGATACAAAAGGCAACCAGCTCCACAGGCGGCCCCGTCCAGGGAACACACAGCCAGGCAGACGAGCTCCGAGCCAGCTCCCATGTCAGAGGATGAAGAGAGCACATCCTGTTAGTCACAGTCAGAGAAACAGGACTACACTGGAAAACAGGCCAAGCTCCAACATCTAGAAACAAAGGTGTTGATGGCAGTAGCACAGCTGATATTTCTCTCCAGGATGGAGTCACAGCCAAACAGGAACAGACCAGATGAAGCTACTATGAGAAAAAGCAGAGAGAGCAGAACGTTAGAGATTGAACTAACAGATTCTGTAGAGTGGGAGAATAGAGATAGAATGAAGCAGAATGATGAAAAAGGGGTCCCTATGTCCTCCAGCAGTCTAAGCCTATAGCAGCAGAATTATAGAGATAGCTCAGGATAAACTGAGCCACTCTAACTAGAAGCTTAATCAAAAAGGAAAGTTTTAAGCCTAGCCTTAAAAGTAGACAGGGTGTCTGCCTCACGGACTAAAACTGGTAGTTGGTTCCACAGGAGAGGAGCCTGATAACTAAAAGATCTGCCTCCCATTCTACTTTTAGAAATTCTAGGAACCACTAGTAAACCTGCAGATTGAGAGCGAAGTGCTCTGTTAGGAACATAAGGAACAATCAGATCTCTGATATCAGATGGAGCTTGGCCATTTAAGGCTTTATATGTGAGAAGGAGGATTTTAAATTCTATTCTGGATTTAACAGGAAGCCAATGAAGAGAAGCCAGGATAGGAGAGATATGATCTCTCTTTTTCATTTTCATCAGAACTCTGGCTGCAGCATTTTGGATCAGCTGAAGGCTTTTAACTACAGTTTGTGGACTTCCTGATAGTAAAGAATTACAATAGTCCAGCCTTGAAGTAACAAATGCATGGACTAGTTTCTCAGCATCACCCCTGGACAGGAGATTTCTAATTTTTGCAATATTCCTCAGATGAAAGAAGGAAATTCTAGAAACCTCTTTGATATGGGATTTAAATGACAGGTCCTGATCAAAAACAACACCAAGATTTTTTACTTTATTATCTGAAATCAGTTTAATCCCATCCAAATGAAGTGACTGGCTAATCAGTTTATTTTTCAAAGAGAGAGGAGAGAGAAAGTGAAGCAGATTCTTTAAAATGTATAACTGCACTATCTGATAAAGATCTACTAAAACTGAACCTTCTTTTGGGGAAGAAGTTAAAGTAATCCTTATTAGAAAGTGGTCAGAGAGGACAGGGTTGTGAGGAAATACTGTTATTTCTTTACATTCTATGCCGTATGTCAGCACAAGATCCAAAGTATGAAGATGAGAATGCGTGGGACTATTCACATTTTGAACAACGCCAATAGCGGCTAAGTTATCATTAAAGGCTGCTCTTAAGCTATCGCCTTCAATGTCAGCATGGATGTTAAAATCTCCCACTATGATGACCCTGTCAGTATTTAATACCAAATCAGAAAGGAACTCTGAAAACTGAGTTAGGATTACACCCAGGATCAGGACTAGGATTAGGACCAGGATCCTCCTGATGACCAAAAACAGGACGGGGTCTCACTGATCTGCCTCCCTTCTTTCTCTGCCTGCAGGTTCCTCGGCCCATGGCCTTAACTCCAGTCAGCACCAGTATGCCTCCTTTCCCACAGAGCTCAGTGACTCAGGAGGAGCTGATGGTCACCATGGTGACGGGGCTGGCATCCCTTACCTCCCGTACGTCCATGGGAGTCCTTGTAGTGGGCGGTGTGGTGAGTGATGCTCAGACTCGTCTTCATCGCTCCGGTTGTTCCTGTCAACCCCACTGAGGCTTTTCCTGTGTGCAGATCTGGAAGGCGGTGGGATGGCGTCTCATCGCGCTCTCCCTCGGCCTCTACGGGCTTCTCTACGTCTACGAGCGGCTCACCTGGACAACCAAGGCCAAGGAGAGGGCCTTCAAGCGGCAGTTTGTGGACTACGCCAGCGAGAAGCTGCAGCTGATCGTCAGCTACACCGGATCCAACTGTAGCCACCAAGTGCAGCAGTGAGTTTAACCATCGGAACGACGGCGCCTGGAATCCGTCGAGCTAAATTCACCCAGGCGTTATCCTTCATCTCGCTGACAGGGAGCTGAGCAGCGTCTTCGCACAGCTGTGCCAGCAGGTAGACGTGACCCGTCAGAACCTGGAGGACGAGGTGAACAACATGAACAGGAAGATCGAGCTCCTGGACACCCTGCAGAGCAAAGCGAAGCTCCTCCGGTAAGATCAGCCGCAGAAAGCAAGATGGCCGCTTGCTCCCGATGCAGATCTGAGCTCAGCTCTTCTTCTCCTATCAGGAACAAGGCGGGCTGGTTGGACAGCGAGCTCAACATGTTCACCCAGCAGTACCTCCAGCCCAGCAAGTGACCCGGAGGGAGACGCAACATGGCCGACCTGCTGCTGCGGTTCTGTTTGTGTGCAGATGATCCGTGTTGTTTGCATGTCCTGCTTACTGCCGTAGTCACGTGAACTCGTTCAGTTTCAGGAGAAGCCGGAGGTTATGTGAGAGCGTGGTTTGGTCTTCCTCTCCGTTAGCGTCCGGCTGTCCTGCTCAGACCATCCTGTAGATTTCTAATCCCGTTCGTTTTAAAGCACTTTACTAATAAATCCAAGTTCTGCTGGGAACTCTGGCCTCAGCTGTGGCCAGTCAGACTGGTTCCAGTTTGATCCCAGTGAAGGAAACCTGTGGCACCTGGTGTCTAATATCTTAATTTATTAATTGATGTACATTTGTTTTGTTTGCTGTATAAATGTAAATTATTTTTGTTTTTGTCCCAGTTCCCCTTTCAGCAGTTAAGAGACAGAATTTCAGCCACTATGATTATTTTTTGTAAATTCTAATAAACTATTTCTGTTGCTCGTTATTTGATTCTTTCAGTGTCAGAATCATCTGGTCTTATTCTTCCAGTTTCTATTTTATTCAGTTGTCTGATATACATCATCAACCCCCCCCCCCCCCCCCCCCCCCCCCCCCCCCACCAGGTCCTGGTAGACCGGGTCCTCGGAGGATCCAGACATCCCAAGTCTTCTGGCAGTTCCGATAAATTATCCCGGATTTTAGACTCTGTGAGGTGTTTTTTTGAGTGAGAGCGGGAAGGCAGTACAATAATTTATTTATCATGTGCGGCTTAGAACTACTTTGATTGCTCAGACAACAAGAGAGACCGGGGTGCAGGGAGGAGGCTGCTGGTGAAACCTGTGCAGCGTTTCTGTCCAAAGCGATGCTCTGATCATCCAGCATTCCAGGCGACTGGTTGATCAGAGAGCTGATTGGATCAGTACAATACGTTTCTCTGGTTACTTTCTGACAGTCACCTAGTTACCACTCAAAGCTGTGCATCCTGCGAGGTTGAATCCTTGAGTAAAAAATGAAAATATAGGACTTATTTTACAGCAGAATATACTAAAGTATATCCACGTCTAGTGAAGGGGAGGAACAGAGGCGGATCTAGACCAAATGTACCAGGGGGCCAGGAGGGGGCAGCGTGTTTTCATGGGGGCCCAGAAAAGCATGAAATAAAAACCAGGGCAAGAGATTTGAATATATTAATATAGCTGCATGAACTGAAATTATTTTTCAATTAGGTATTTCTTTTGAGGTCAATATACATTTATAATTTATTATATATTATAATTATAATAAAATATTTTTTACTTAATATAAGTTAAAACTACTGTTTTCTATAAAATTTAGATTAGAATTCAAGAAAAACTGTTAAATTCATCTTTAAAAATGTTAGTATTTTGTTTATATATATTTGTTGTGAAAAAGAACATTCAGGAGATGAAAACTGGGATCCCATCTGAATCCCACTGAAGCTATCACCAGGGGCAGATTTAGGAAATTTGGGGCCTTAGGCAAAGACATACATGGGGCCCTTTGAAATGGGAATGCAAAACAGATCCATTACACAGATACAGAAATGTTTAAAGATAGACATACATTATTTGTTCTACCTTTTGTCCCTCTCTTCTTATCCATTTTCTAGCTGTTTCCTCTGTATGTTTTCTTTTGTCCCTTTTCATATTGGCAATGTACTCAGCTGTCTTTTCATGCTGTCCCACAAGTAGTGAAAGATTTTTTCCAATCACTAACTCCATTCTAACTTTGCCGACTGCTCCTGTGTTTCCAAAAAGGCAATAACAAAAGTAAATAACCCAGTCATTCTTTTTACTACAGACAAGCCATGATTCTCAGCGTCTCTGTTTTCCATTTTTCATTTGAATAAAATTATAACTACATGAGTCATGACAGCAGACAAGAGGGAGGAAAGCAGGAGGCGGGGTTATGAATCTACTTACTCTGGAGTGCAGAGTTCACTGCTTTAATATATTGTTGCAAAAGTCTCCAGTAACAGAAAGAAGCCACTAGGTGCTTTTTTGTAATAAAATCGCTAGAGGCGTCTAAAAAGTCACTATAGTAAAGCGACAAAAGCGCTAATTTGGCAACACTGCTCTTCCCGCTGTTTGTTTACAAAGGATTTGCTGCTGCTTGTTTGGGCCTTTCTGCACATAGGCAGCAAATGGACTGATCCAATGCTTAATATTATAAGCATTCTGCTGGCATTTTAACAAAAGTATTTTTATCAGAAACATAATTAATGTACAGAAATAAGTAATAGCTGTATTAACCATACATGTAAGAGGAGTTTTATGGGGCCCCCCAAGAACGCGGGGCCCTAGGCAACCGCCTAGTTTTGCCTAATGGTAAACCCGCCCCTGGCTATCACCTTATTGTTTTTGAATAATTAGTAAAACAGGATTTGTAAAGAAAAAGAATGAAGTAGATCCAAATGACCTATCAGTAACCATGTCTGTTCCAGCGCAGATCATCATTAGAATTTAAGTTTTATGTCTTCAGGACATGATCTACAGGGGCACTGGCCTCCATTGGCTCCTGTCTAGAACCGGCCATGCTGAGGAATGATGTCACCGTGGCGAGGTGCACTGTATGATGAAGTCCCATGAAAAACAGAACGAACAACCGATGTTCAAGGCTACAAGATTGAAAGTATTGAAAATGAAAAAAATTAAAGACCAATTTTGTTCTGTTTTGTGTTTAAGAAATTACTGTTAGTTAATAAACAGTTGTTGAAAAGTTGCTGGCCTTAAGTGTGTATATATGGGTCACGGAGTGGGTCCGGTGTCCCCAGGGTGTGTTTGAGGTTGGGGGTGTAAGATAAGCATCTCACTGAAATGAGTTTTTGGAACCCGGGAAGTCTGGGATCCTGTCCAGGTAGACCGGGTCTCCCTGTATGATGGGGGGGGGGGGGGGGGTCTTTGTTTTGATCAAATTCATGTTGGCACTGATACGTCTATCAGAAGAGCTGGAGAGCTAAACTGACCCATCATCCAGCCTCATTGGACGCTGACCGACATGCTTAGAGGGCGGCCATCTTGGATCGGACCTTAGTTCATACAGCTGCTGTCAGAATGAATGAAAGACGAGTCACACTGTAATAAAAGTCAGTAAAACATGCAGTAAAACACGGTTAAATAGCAACAGTAAAAGACCGTGAAACTAAAAGAGGTTCTTTATTAAATACATTAAATACCTGTTAATGAAATGACTGGAAAAAACACTGAATATTACTCTTTAAAATATAAAACAGTGATTTACTGTGAAAATTAATAACTATGCACATAAAATTTACAGGAAATACTTGTTGATTGTGAAGGAAGCATCAACTTTAATTTATACACAAGTAAAATGGTTAAAAATATATCTGTCCATCCTTTTTATAACAGGCTTTATCTCTGCGGGGGTGGGGAGGGGTGCTGGTGCCTATCTCCAGCTGTCTACAGGTGAGAGGCGGGGTCCACCCTGGACAGGTCACACTCATCCTGGACAGGTCACCAGTCCATCCTGGACAGGTCACCAGTCCATCCTGGACAGGTCACCAGTCCATCCTGGACAGGTCACCAGTCCATCACATCTTTTAAATGTGCAATGACTATGCACCAACACCAGAATCAAGACGCTAAAGGGCTAATAGCTCATCTGAGGAGTAATTTTGTGGAAGAACATGTGGTTACTTGGCCTTACGGTGACCAGATGTCCCTGATTTCCAGGGACAGTTCCAGTTTTTGACCACCTGTCCCTGGAAATGTCCCTGATTTTACTGTTTCATGAATGATGCATTTAGACTGTTATTACGGTAGAGAGAGCGTTAGCATGGTGGTTAGCAGCTGTTAGTGTAGATGAGGAGCAGATGAGGATTATTAGAAGAGGTCTCAGCTGCCTTGTGTGATGGTGAGGGGGTTCAATAGTTCATTTGGTGTTGGTTCAAATGTTTGGTTAACACCCAGGTTAATAAAAAAAAGGCCTTTGATGTGTTTGTTTCACTAAAGATGAGGATCAGAAATGTAGCTACCATAAGTCAAACTAATCAACAAACAGCCAGACAGACCATTGGCTGCAGCTGCAGCAGGAAATAGACTCAGATCAAGAGGAGAAGACTGATGGAAAGCAGATTGAATGAGAGTGGAGGAAAATATGAAGACGGATGGAAAGATCAGTTAAATAGAAAGAAGAAAATCTGCTTAAGAGTAAAACAGAGAGCAGGCAGGAGTCAGCTAGAAAGAAAAGAAGCTGGAGAGGGAAGAATGAATGACCTGATAAACACCATCCAATGAGTGATTGTATTCATCTAAGGAAATAGGAGAGGCACATTCCTGGATTTAACACCTGATTTTTGTTGTTTAAATGTTAAAAAATATGTAAAAATGGATGAAAGCATTACTGTCCATGTTTCCTGTTTTAATTTTGATGATATAAATTTTATCTTTTTATCCATGAGCTGGAAATTTCCCCAGATTGATTTCAGAATTCTGGTCACTTTACTTTACTTTACATTTATCAGCCGGCTGAACCTTATTTTGTCTTTTCTTTATAAAAGAAAGTTTGTCATGTTCTTTACATTTTCCAACCCTGAGTTTAAACGAAAACACGAAGAAATCAATTTAAAGGCTCCATTACTCTAAGGACACGGTGAGTTTTATTTATTTCCTTCTTTTCAAACGACTTTCTAAAATAAATGTTTTTTTTTTGCCCTACAGCTGTGCTGCTGTGATCAGAATCAGAAGGAAATGAGAAGCAAACCTGTTTTAAGAAGACGACAGATGAAAACCTGCTAAAGACAGAATGCTTTAATGCTTAAACCTATAACGCCATTAAATAATTAAAGCTGATGTTCCACATAAACCTGTCTGATTAGCTGCTTTCTAAAGCGCCCAGATTCATGACACAGTAAAAGAAATAAAACTGAAATTACATTATTAAAACATAGTGTTAAAAATTCGTAAACCTAAAATACAGTTTTGTTAAATAACTTTTCAAAGCAGAGAATTTCATTTCAAAATTTCTGTTTTAAAAAGTCAAATTAAGTTTCTGATGTCACATGGTTCGGTCTATAAACGGTAAAACGAATAGATTTAATGTGAGGAACTGCATCCTTTAGAGCAGGGGTCACCAACGCGGTGCCAGCGGGCACCAAGGGGCCCTCAAGGACCACATGGGGGGCCCTCAACGCCTTCTGAAAACAGTAACTCAGCAGTGGGCTAAGTTTGAAATGTTATTTTATTCTGTGACTCTTCTTTTTAATCATTTATAGAGCATTTCATCATAGTAATCATATAGGGCATTTTAGCGTTTATAGAGATTTTAAAGTTATAATGTTTAAAGGAAAATTAGAAATTAATAGTTAACAATAAAAATGTGTTTAATTTGGATGAAGTTTAGGTGAACGCTGACCCCTCTTGTTCATAGGTCAGTATTGGTAGCCCTTCCTGTGATTCAATAGCCATGAAGTAGCCCTCAGACTTGAAATGGTTGGTGACCCCTGCTTTAGAGTCATAAATGTGAAGTTCCATAAACAATTAGATATCCTGTTGTCATTTTGAGTTAGTTTTGGGTTTATCCTTCTACCTGGGGACTAGATTTAACTCCTGCAACTGTAACTTTTAAGCAATACTTTCTGAAAGTTTAACATATCGTTTTGTCTTTGTTAATTTTATGCATGCATGGCATTGATCAGATGTTGGTAACTGTGTATTTTCTTTCTTTCTGCAGGGCGGATTAGATTAGATTCAACTTTATTGTCATTACACATGTACAGGTACAGGGCGACGAAATGCAGTTTAGGTTTAACCAGAAGCGCAATAAGAGCTTCTGGTTAGACCTAAACTGCCTTTTTGACTCACTTGGTGCATCCTCTCAGGCCAAAGTGAAAACTTTGTCTCTTTGATGAACATTTAGAACCGGATCTGTCAGAGATCTTCAACCAAGTCCAGACTCGATGACTTGTTACTGCTGTTCATTGACTATTTTTCATGCTTTTGTTCAACCATCAGCAGTTATATGCTGCATTATTAAGGTTTATATTGATTTGTGATCATGCAGACAATATAATCTGTAATTTTTTCTTTCCCAGATGTTATTTATAATTGTCTTATTCGTTTTCTATGATAATCTGTTCCTTGATTAAATTTGTGCATCTTTAAGTTGCCAATGTTTAATTTACACAAAAAAACTGACCATATACACGTATTGTACCGTTTAACGGCAAAATATATATTTCCAGGAAATTACCGTAAAATTTAACTGTTCAAGATAAACATTTTCACAATTTTACCCTGTTTGTTATTAACTTTGCCTTTAAAAACCTTTAGCACATTTCAGTTGTTTAAAATTTTTTTTTATCTTAATAATGTTTATTCGACATAATAAACTGTAATGTATCTGTTGTTTTACAGCAGATAAATGTAAAAATCAATGGAAAGGGCTTTTTTTCTTTTTCACAGGATATTACAGTTCAAAGATTTACGGTTATTTTTTCTTCAATGATTTAGTGAGAAATATTTTCAGCTGTAAAATTTAAGGTTACCTAATCAGCTTCCCCCTTTTTTACAGTTAGGATGAACCCTAACCACAGCTACCCGTGTTTTACTGTTAATTTGAACGTTTTTTTATGGTTTATTTCTCATCCAGTTTAGTCTTTAATCAAAATAAAGGTGTAATCTAATGTAAAGGTTATTTCAGATTTAGTTTTGATCTTTTAAAGGGCTGTGACGTGTCAGAGGTTATTGTAATATATCTGACTCGTCTTTCAGGTCATTAAAATGAGATCTGAGGCGACTCCTATTCATTCAGCTGAACCGTGGTCTGACCCAAGATGGCCACCCAGCGTCCAATCAGGCGTCTACGTATAGATTGGCTCTGCACTGACCTCGCCTCAGTGTTTTATTATTTAACCCTTTAATCACTCCTAGTCAGCAGAGCTTATTTCAGTGAAAAACAGAACAAACACTTTATACCCAATCATTTATTGAAAAGTATTAAATCCTTAGACAATCCTGTACGACTCATTGCTTCAATGTTCACTAAAAACCTTCAGGAAAACATCAAAGTCAGAATCAGTTCAGAATAGGAGGAAAGCGCAGCTCCTCCTTTGCTTCTGATGCAGAGAAATGAACATTTCTGGATTATCAGTAAAACACCTTTACTGACAGGATGATGCTTTTCTACAGGTTCCTTTAAGGAGCGATGATGTCACATTAGAACAGAGACGGCTCCAATGACCTGATTAGAAAAATAAATCTGGATTTCATTGTCTTATTTTCAGGAAGCGTAACTCAAACATTAGATCCTGTAGTTTTGATGATTCAGGTTTTCAGAAAAATGGTGAAATATTGGAAAAGTTGAACGTTGGACTTTAGCAGAAGCAGCGGCTGAACAGGAGCCCAGAATGGATTTCATCAACTTTTCTCTTTAAATCGTCAGAAATTATCCAGACGCAACAATCTGCTAAACTAAAAGACTTTATTCTTAAAGGAAGCCTGAACAGGGATATGGAACTATTTTCTTCTCTTTGAACATTTCATGAAGTTATTGAGGATCAGCTGAACCCCCGCAGAGTTACAAATTAGGTTTGTTTAAAAAAATAAGAAGATATTTAGCAGCAGTTTGCAGAGACAGTCCTGCTGCTTGAGGTAGAAGTTCAGTGAAATCTAAGAGCTGATGTAACCCCCACCCCCAGGCAACATGTGGCCGTGGAGGACAAGAGGGGGTGGTGGGGCGGGAGGTCGGACTTCAAACATGATAAAAACATTGTAGACCCTAATATGATGCGGCAGAGGTAGACCATCAGTCTCACAGACTTGTACACTTCTATTAAAACATTTCTTTAGATACAGTCATTCAAAGGAAAGCTGCTCTAGTTTCTGATCCTCAGCCGCAGTCCGTCCCCCCCGCCGTCCTCTGCTGATGGCGCGCTGGTCCAGGACAGCTGGGACCGCCTCCAGTTTGACGGACAGAGCAGCTTCTCCTGTGGCTGCAGGACTTCGCCTCAGAGCAGAACCAGACGTTCGGAGCACAGTCCTTTGGACAGATGACAGAGGCTGAGACCATAGTCCAGAGTGCGAAGGCCGTAGGAACCTGGGCGCCTTCCACTCATCCACCAAGTGAGTCCAAATTTAAGGCCCCCAGTGTCTCGGCTGAGGCCCACAACCCCACCGGTTCTGGTTCTGCTCGTCCTTTAGGTTCAGGACCAGAAAAAGGGGAAAGTAAAGTCTTAACTAGTGAAAGGGAACAACGAGAAAAAAACAAACAAAAACAAAGCCTACATGTGCTGAGATCATCTAGAACTACGGTAAGTGCTCGGGTCTAGTCCCAATGAGACACTAGGAAGCTCGTTATGACGCTAATGAACTACTCCAGAAAATTCCCAACTCCTGTGCTTCATCTTTCCACCTCAACTTTCCACTCGGGAAAACCCGAATTCTGAAGCAGCTTTTCATGCAAGATATCCAGCTGTGGTTCTCCTCCGCCTGGAAACATGACGAAGCGCCCCTAGAGGCCGTCTGTAAAGCAGACCTCCGCATTGAGACACAGTCCTGTATCTAAGGCAGCTCAGTGGTTGCTAGGAGGAAGACCTTTCTAGTCTTCATCAGGCACAGACTGAAGGAAAGGTGGATGATCATACATCCAGGAACGAAGCAGGTCAGATGACCTTCCAGGCACAAACGAGTCTCTGAAGACGGCAGAACATCTGCAAACCCCTGATCGAACTCATCCAAGCATGTAGCGACGACGGCGTCGAGTTTCAAACCCGTCTCTCTAAGTGGCTTTTAGTCTTTTTTTTTTAACCCACAGCAGCTTCATTCTCACACGGTTTGGCATCACATCAACCAATGAAACGTAAGTTAAGTGCATCAAACTAGAAGTGAACTGGAGGAGCAGCTACGGTGCAGTGAAGCTGACCTGCAGTGGAGCCTCACAGCTAGCCACGGCCGAGAAACGGCCATCAGCAACCTGCTTATGTTCACAGCTTCATTTTGGTCATTTTCTTCTTCTATACTGCTGAAATACTGCGCCCACAGTTAGGGTCATGAGCGAGCGAAGCCCGACCCCACCGACGGGAGGAAACGCTTCTCTAACGGCGACGTGTTGAAAGGAAAAATAAAATCTAGAAAAAGTGAAGGAAGTGGGATTCCTCTGGAACATTCAAAACTTTTCAGTCATGAGGTAATACTAATGAGGTGACCTGTTGCTTGTTTCCAAAAATATACAACTCTTCTCAGATTATGTACAACAAGTGCGTGAGGAGAATGCTTGAAGGTATCTACTGCTGGAAGGCCTGGTAGTAGTGAGGTAGGGAGCTGGAGCTGCTCACAGCAGGACTGTATGACTGAGGTAGCTGGTTGGGGTTAAAAACCCCGGAGCCCTGCGGCCCATGAGCCTGGGGGGGCTGAAGGAAGCTGAAGGGTCCCGGAGCCTGGCCGGGGACCCCCGAGGTAGAGGAGGGAGACGAAGTGGGGGAGGGCGCGGGGGGGTAACTCATCACTAACCCCATGTGAGGGTTGTAGGGCGGCAGCCCGAAAGGCAGGAAGCTGAGCAGAGAGCCCAGGTCCATGTTGGTGTTGCACGGCGGCTCGCCGGTGGAGACGGCCGGGCTGCGAGGCACGGGATGGGCTTCGCCCCCGCCTCCGTCCACCCCGTCCCCCACAATCTCCTTCTGGGGTGAGGCGGCCATGGAGGACCCGGCCGCACTCAGCTGAGACGAAGGGACGCTCTGGAAGTCCAGCAGGAAACCATCCATGTCAGAGCGAGGATATGAGGTAGAGCCGTACGGGTACTGGGACATGCCGCCATAGGGCTGCTGCTGGGCTGCCGCCGGCGGCTGGAGGGCATGTCGATGGGGGTGGGAAGAGGGCGTGGTCATATGATGACCCACCCCCATGCTGGAGGACAAGGAGCCCTGCACCAGGCCATGAGGAGGCCCCATGGCAGGGATCAGGTTTGGCAAGCTGTAGGAAGCGCTCATATCCCTGGTAAAACCCTCGCTGGGATCCTTGGAGGCGGAGCTTCTGACGGGCGCCTCTAAGGGGGGCTCCTCTTTGACCGGGGTCTGAGCCGCTCCGTGGTTGCCGGGGTTAGACGCCGGCATCAGACCAGACTCCTGCGCGTGGCTTTTCTTCAGGTGCCGCGTCAGGTGGTCTCTGCGCCCAAAACGCTGCGCACAGCACGGGCACAGGAAGTCCCGGCGCCCGGTGTGCACCACCGCGTGGCGCCGCACATCCTTCCGCGTGTAGAATCGACGGTCACATCGTTCACACGAGTACTTCCTCTCTCTCGGAGGCACGCCGCTGCCGCCGTCCGTGGACAGGGGCCGGTCCCCGTGCTCCCCCAGGGTCTCCAACATGGCGGGGGACTCCATGCAGAGCGGGCCCGCTGCAGCGCTGTGGGCAGCCACCAGGTGGCGTCTGTAACCCAGCTGAGTGTTGTACTGTTTTCCACACTCCTGGCATTGGAAGAGCTGCCTACTGGCCGGGAGGTTCTCGTAAAGCTGCCCTTTCAGGTGATCCTCGTGGAACATGGTCTAATGAGGACGAAATGGGCGGCGGCGCCGCTGCTGCGCGGGGGCGGGGCCAAGAGCCTGAGCTGATAGGAACAAGAGTCATGAGGAGGAAGGAGCATCAGCTTCCTGCGCTATGGTTGCTAGTCCAAGTCCAGATGCAGAGGTTTTGTTAAGAGCCGCAGCTTTTAAAGTTTGATGTTTTCCTGCAGGACTGGCGGCTGATGGGACGCGTGCTAAAGGGCAGAGCCTCGGTCCACAGCATGAACTCTGCTGCCATAACAACCCCAAAGGGCTGCAGGGATGAGGACTCTACGTCAGGACTCAGAGGATCTGAACGCACATGCTGCCGGGTCACAGAAACTGGCCTTCCTCTTCACAAACCTGAGATAAAAAAAACACAGACAGACAGACGGCGTCAGAGTTTATTAAAAAACACAACATGATCCAGCTGCAGCAGAGTTAGCTTTAAATGAGCAGAGAGATTAGCATCATGTGGAAAACACGTCTGGACCCGTTTCACAAAAAAAACAGATGAAGACGATTGTATTAAACTAAACGTGATATCAGAATAAACAAAAAGGAGTAAGGCCAGGACGTTGTTTCCCCACCAGCGCCCCCTACTGGTTGGAAGCTGTAACGCAGTTTCCACCAAAATCGCACTAAACATCTTTTTTTTTATTTTTTTTATTAAGGGTAATAAAATGAGAAGGCTGAGAAATTTATGGGGATTCTACAAACAATCTGTGGGTTTTAGTGGAAAATGGAAACATTTCAATAAAACAGATTATTTTCATATTAATATGAACCACCAGGGGGCGCAAATCATGAGCTGCTGCTCACTATAGAAAGCTCACTTTGTTTTAATCTTTTAAACCTCTCTGTGGAAGATAAACAAACGGCTTCACTTCAAAGCTGCTGTCTGTTTTATTCCAAATTAAAACAATACTGTAATTAATATATATTTAATACATTTTTCATCAAATATAAACATTTTCCCATTAATTATAAAATATGTTTTTACAAAACATATAATCAAAGATGTGATTCAATCTAATGTAATTAGTTATAAAAATTATATTAATTTCATTGTGTTTTTTTTATTTGTGCCACTTTTTAGTTTTAAAGCTACTTTTTAAAAAATTCCCAGTTATTTTCATATGAGGGATGTTTTCTCTGCAGGGGGGCTCTGCTCTGAGCTTATAAATAATAACATATTTATTCAGATAAAAGAACAGATCAATTAAACATTTGCAAAATCGTTACTTATATATTCCTAAAAACTAGGGATGCATGATATAATCGGCCCCCTATCGGTATCGGCCTTAAAACTGAATATCGGACATCGGCCACCCCACCGATATTTAACCCGATATTTGATCAGCTTCTGAGTTTCTAAAGTCTAAAAAAATAAATAAATACTACTTCTTCTTCTTCCTCAAAAACTTCTTTTTTACAGACTTAAAAACTTCTAAAGACGAGGGAAAAAATATTGATCCATTAAAATATCCCAATATCTTCATATGCTGATATATTGCCATTTAAAAACACCATATCAATCTCTTTTACTAATGAAATATTGCTATATGTCATCGTTATGCTACGAAATCCCCCGAAAATTCACCAAATGTTGCCATATTTTTATATCTTGATATATTGACGCGTATCGATCTATTTTACTAACAAAATCTCACAAGAATTTGCAAAATATCACGAGAGTTTGTAACAGAACGATGAAATTTCACCAGATTTTGAAAGTAAAATAGATCGATACCGCGTTTTTAAAAATCTATTTGATATTAGCATATCGTCGCTGTCGGGGAAAAAACCTTGTAACTCCCATTTTGGACTTTTTTTTTTTATTTCATAAATTGATAGGATTGGTCAGTGCCCACATGTGAACGTATGTTTTGGAAAATATTAACCAATTAAAGGTGTTGAAAAAAGGTTGGGACTTAATCTCATTACTCCATTGGGCTCTTCCGCTGTCGCTGTTTTTACAATTTCCTGTAAACTTTATGGTTTTGGACATACGAGGTTTCCGTCCGACAGCGACGATATGAAAATATATTTGAGTTTATTATTTTTCAAAGTGTCAGAAATGGATAACAAAGCTGCTATTTTCAATGACTACTAATTATTGTCCAGCTTTAACATCAGTATCGATATCGGTTATCGGCTACATGAGTTTTAAAATATCGGCATATCGGCCAAAATCCCAATATCGTGCATCCCTACTAAAAACACACAAAAACTTTGTTTCCAATTTTGAAGACGTTTCTCTTCCCATCCAGGAAGCTTTTTCAATTCAAAATGTCTGAAATAGTGTTGAGTTCCAGGTTTTATAGAGTGGAGCAAAAATAAAACCTGGTTTTAGTTTAGAAAACATGCAGATTGAACCAGAGGAGCGGATCCAATCTGGATGGGAAGAGAAACGTCTTTAAACTTTGAAACCTTTTTAGAATGACTCTGATGACTGAGAATCTTCACCTGCATTTCTTATATATTGGGTTTTATGCCATAGAGGCAGTAGTTTATTTTATTGAGTATTTGTAAAATGTTTAATTTGGAATGAAACGGCTTTCCATAGAGAACCTGCAGGAGGTTTTTAGCTGAAGCTCAGCTAAACTCGGCTCATCTAAGCTCGGATCAGCTAAGCTCGGCTCCTCTGGCTCGGCCTTCCAGGCGGCGCGCCATGGAAGTTGTGCAGAAGCTGTGTGTGGAGCAGCCCGGGCTCCGCAGCCTTCCGGCCTGCGGGGTCGGTCGGTGGGTTGGGGTTTTATGGAGCCGCAGCTGAGCCGCTTCCTGCCGCAGTGATTCCGAGAGGAGCGGAGGAGCGATCCCCGCAGCGGAGCCTGATTCATAAACAAAAGCTTCACCAACTTCTGTCGAAGTTTGCAGCGGAGAAGAACCTAAGGAGCAGCGGAGGAGAACCGAAGGAGCAGCGGAGGAGCATCGGAGCTTTACTCACCGACTCGTCCGTCCGGCTCTGCGTCCTTCCCCCCTTCGCGCTCCGCGGCGACATTGCAGCAGAAGTTTGAAAGCAGTTTGTTGGAGTTTCAGGCCTGGACTCTGGGGCACCGCGCTGGGAGCCAGGCATTCTGGGAGGGTGACGTCACGGCAGTGGAGCGAACATCCTGCTGACGTCAAAATGTTAGGCGAAGTTTGAGCAGCGCCTCCAGAGAGCAAACTTCTTCTTCTTCTTCTTCTGATGTTTTATGGCGGTTGGCAAACTAGTTAAAAGTGTATTACCGCCACCAACTGATAAGGAGTTAAACAAGGAAACAGGACACGACTCACCCACAGAAAAAATAAAATAAAAAAATAAAATAAAAAGTAAAATAATATTTTTTCCGAACTGTTTAACTGAACCCAACAAAAATAAATACTCATAATTTTCAATTTATCTTTAAGTTATCCTCACTCTGCAGTCTCTGATGGTTTTTCCCATCATGCTTTCAACTGTTTCCCAATTTAGATCTCTTATACTTTTTAGCAGCATTAACTATTATTTTGACTTTTTTCGGTTTTTCTTGTCGTTTGAGCGCTACAATTGATCACTTCTACCATGAAAGGAACAAAATAGTCTTTCTTACAATGAATGAAACAAACTTCTTCTTTTTTATGGCGGTTGGCCTCCTTTTGATACGCATTACCGCCATCTACTGGAGTGTGGATCGGGATGCTTTTTATATACATTCTAGAGAACAAACTCTTCCTGTAAACTTCATTACATGCCTACACAGTTACTACAGTCACCATGGAAACACGGTTACCATGGAAACGCTTTTCATTCTCCTAAATACTCAGAGATATCTGGTCCATTTATTAGACAAGTCATTTGTTTCAAGATTTGTAAAAGTGTTTCGTTTTTAGTAAATTTGTTTTCTGAAATGTAAATTTGTTTCAAGATTTGTAAGTGTTTAAGATTTTGTATTGTTGGTTTGCACTTCCCGGCCACCGTACTGTTCCAACATTTCCTCATATTTCCATTAAATTTAATAACTTTTCATTTTTGTCTTAACGGTATTATTCTCAGAACTTGTATTGTTTAGAAAACCTATAAAAATATAACTTATAAATCCTACAATAGAAAAAAAGAAATCATGAAACTTTTTAAATACTAATTTAACTAAAAACATTAACACATCAAAAACAACTTAAATAAATTATAAACAGCAGCTTTGAAACAACTTTTAAAAAGCTGATTTTGCATCTCATCTTGATTAACTATATATATTTACCTCTTCTTAATGAAATCTATAGTTTCTTTTAATCTACGTCCAAATGATACTAACAATCTAATCATATTCTGCTGTATTCAGCTTCAAACAATGAAAAGAACATTTCCTTTTATAAAGTGCAGCAGTGATCAGAATGTAAACACTGGTGAGGAAGTCTAGCAGCCAATAGCAGAGGGGTGTATTGAAGCCCAGCTGTTCCAGTTTGCCCATCAGATGCTGTGGGATGATGGTGCTGAAAGCTGAACTGAAGTCCAGGAACAGCATCCGCACGTGGGTGTTCTTCTCCTCCAGGTGTGGAAGGCTCAGGTGGAGAGCAGCAGAGATGGCGTCCTCAGTGGAGCGGTTCCGTCGGTAGGCGAACTGGAACGGGTCGAATGTTGGCGGCAGACTGGAGACGATGTGTTCTTTGACCAGCCTTTGGAAGCACTTTATCAACTCTGAAACCCTGGAATTAGTTCATTAAATGATTAGATCAGCAAATCAATCAGTGCATAAAGAAAGACTTTTATGTTCCAGTTTAAAAAGATAATAAAATGTCTTCTGTCACATTTAGACCCAACATATCTCGACATAATTCATAGAACTTTAACTGCCATTTCTCTTCCTTTACAGTTTTAGTAGGTAATAAAGAAAATGTCTTCCATGGTTTAAGGTTACAGCTCTCTAATGTCTCTGTACTCTCAGGCTGAGGAAGGCTGCACTTCGGCTTCTGTCCAACAGGTGGCGGTAGTAACAACAGACAGCTGCTTTAACTATTTCCTCAAATGCTTTATAAATACATTATAGCACTGTTTTTTTCTCCATTTAAAGTTATCTATTGTTATTGTTTCAGCTGATAAATGAGCCGTATAGTTATGCAGCTGAATGATTCCTAACATTTTTAAGCTGCAATGAATCCATCGGCAGGAAGTTTAAATAATTATTTCATATTAAATTCTTTAGACCTGATCCATGAGGAACTACAAAACAATCATTAACACCTGATTTTCCTCTGATTTAGTAAATCTCATATCAGAATTCCACAGCACAAACAAGTTTTTAGTCACATTTTTGTTGTAGTCAAAACTTTCTCTGGAAAAATGATTAGATATTATTAGACAGAATATTATTGGTTGGCTTAATTAGCTTAACTAGCCTAACAGGTAGACCAGACTGGCTGCAGAGCTCTGCAACTCCAGAAACTCCTGAAGCACATTTAAAAGGAGGCTGGACAGAGATTCTCAGACATGAAGTGAGAATGAAAAGGAATACATCCCTTTAACAGGTTAAGACGTCCAGCAGAACCTAAACCAGAGGAGAGACGGAGCTGACCACTGGAAGACCAGGTAGATCATCTACGCAAGGAGAAGAAACATCAAAGGCAAGCAAGGATCTCTCAATAGAAACGAAGGAAGGGATTCACAGGCACAGGCTGGTCATTCTATATGTGGAAGGAAAATACAGTAGAGAGGAAGGATTATATTTTATGTCTTCCAGCAGCCTAAGCCTATAACAGCACAGAGATACTGTAGTTCAGGATAACCACTCTAGAGCCACTCTAAATGTATATTTTTTTGAGAAAATAAAAGTATTTAAACTAGTCTTAAAAATAGGCAGAATGTCTGCCTCATGGGTTACAACTGGAAGTTGCTTCCACAGGAGAGGATTCTTTCTACCAAAGAAACTCTAGGAACTAAACCTACATGGAGTATTTTTCTGCATCGCTCTTGAATAGTTCTAGTTTATTTTGTGAACCTATTTATCATGGGAATTAAATAAGTCCTCAGTCCTCAGGATAACACCAAGAGGACAATTGTATGATGATCTATAGTAGATTAGGTAGAACTTTATTGATCTCACAATAGAGAAATTCACTCTTAGGAGCGATAGAAAGAACGGAAAGGAGGAAAAGGTGCATGAAGTAAATACAGAGGATCCAGATATATTAAGTAGATGGTAGAAAATATAGAAGCAGAGATTTAAGGAGACTAATCTATACAGTATCTTATTTTCTGGTTTGTTAAATAGATCAATGGTCTAAGTTAATGCAGTGTTATTAAACTAGGTTAGAGTGCAGTGGCATTGTAATGAATGACCTGCGGTAGCGCTCCTTTTTCCAATCAGGGTGTAAAAGCCTTTGACTAAAGGAGCTGCTCAGCTCCTCTCCAGTCTGCTGCAGAGGGTGGAAGGTGGCGTCCATGATGGATGGAAGCTTGGACAGCACCCTCCTCTCAGCCACTTCCTCCACTGAGTCCAGAGTGCAGCCTAGGACAGAAACGGCCTTTCTCACCAGTTTGCTCAGTCTCTTTCTGTCCCGCTCTGCGCTGCCAGGGGCCCTGCAGAGAACAGCGTAGAGGAGGGCTGATGCCACCACAGAGTCAGAGAAGGTGTGAAGCAGGGGCCTGCTCACTGCAAAGGACCTCAGCCTCCTCCTCAGGAGGTGGAGGGAGGCGGCTCTGGCCCTTCTTATACAGGGCCAAGCTGTTATGAGTCCAGTCCAGGTTATTGTTGACGTGAACACCCAGGGATTTGAAACTCTCCACAGTTTCTATATCCTGCCCCTGGATGTTCACGGGGGAGTGAGGTGGGGGTCTTCTCCTGAAGTCCATCTCCATCTCCTTTGTCTTACTGGTGTTCAGACACAGGTGGTTCTTCTCACACCAGTCCACAAAGTTCATGATGACTGATTGATACTCTAGCTTGTTCCCCTCAGAAACACAGCCTGCAATGGCCGGGTCATCAGAGAACTTCTGTTGTTTTATAGATTACAAACAAAATCCACCTAATCTGAATATATTTCCTGAGTTATCAAATTCATCTTATCTTTGTATGTCCTTCATTTTTATAGATTTCATAATTCAAATAGATTATCCTAAACATAGATTTCAAGAATTTCATTGTTACTATGTCAGAGGTTTGGGTAAAAGCATAAAATTACTGAAATGCTTAGAAATTATGACCTTCTAGCAAGGTTCTGAGGTTCTGCTCAGGTTCTGAAGAGGTTCTTCAAGGGTTCTGCTGAAGTTCTGCAGAGGTTCAGCTGAGGCTCTACTAAGGTTCAGATGAGGTTCTGTTGAGGCTCTGTTGAGGTTCTGCTGAGACTGTGCTAAGATTCAGCTGAGGTTCTTTTGAGGTTCAGCTGAGGTTCTGCACAGGTTCAGCTGAGGTTCTGCTGTTTCTTAGCTGAGGTTCTGTTTAGGTTCTGCATAGGTTCTGCTGAGGTTCTTTTGAGGTTCAGCTGAGGTTCTTTTGAGGTTCAGCTGAGGCTGTACTAAGGTTCAGCTGAGGTTCTGTTGAGGTTCAGCTGAGGTTTTGCTGAGGCTCTGCTACGGTTCAGCTGAGGTTCTACTGAGGTTCAGCTGAGGTTCTTTTGATGTTCTGCTGAGGTTCAGCTCAGGTTCAGCTGAGGTTCTATTGAGGTTCAGCTGAGGTTCTTTTGATGTTCTGCTGAGGTTCAGCTCAGGTTCAGCTGAGGTTCTGTGGAGGCTCTGTTGAGGCTGTGCTAAGGTTCAGCTGGGGTTCTGTTGAGGTTCAGCTGATGTTCTGCTTAGGCTCTGCTAAGATTCAGTGGAGGTTCTGTTGAGGTTCTACTGAGGTTCCGCTAAGGTTCAGCTGAGGCTCTTTTGAGGTTCTGCTGAGGTTCAGCTCAGGTTCCACTGAGGTACTGCTGAGGCTCTGTTGAGGATTTGCTGAGGTTCTGTTGAGGTTCTGCTGAGGTTCTTTATAGGTTCTGTTGAAGTTCTGCTGAGCTTATACTGAGGTTCTGCTAAGGTTCTTCTGAGGTTCTGCAGAGGTTCTGCTCAGGATCTACAGAGGTTCTGCTGAGGCTGTTTTGAGGTTCAGCTGAGGTTCTATTAAGGTTCTGTAGAGGTTCTGCTGAAGTTCTGTTGAGGTTCAGCTGAGGTTCTGTTGAGGTTCTGCGAAGGCTCTGCTAAGGTTCTGTTGAGGTTCTGCTGAGGCT